CGTTTCCCCGCAATACGGCCTTCGTTATGTAATGCTCTGTGGTTTTTCGAGTAAGGGTAAAAGAAAGTATTTCTTTCGAAATACAACTCTTTAGCTCCTTCTGTATATCAAATTATTTTAAAAATTAATTTTACTAAAAGCTAGCAAAATTATAATTTACCTTTGCTATATTACTGTACTCAGCAATAGCTGATTGATATTAAAGAAATATCTTGTGTATATTTTTATTAAATAAATGCTTACATTTATATTTATTAGTTAGATAAAGTAGATAGTAAGATTAATTAAACAATTATTCAGGAAGTCGATAGTAGATATTATTTCTCTTACTAAAAACATAATTGTATATATAGCTAGTATAAACCCAGCTATTCTCTTAAATACATTATTCCTATTGTAGTATTATTTTTTTTGGTGATCTTTTACTTGAAGATTTCTATTTATTAATATCAATAAAACTAATGTTTTTATAATAAGGTGTATCGAATTTGCAATCAGATTGACTTTGATATAAAATCTTTAGGATATTTTTTTCAATTATTTCACTATCATTTTCGAGATTACAAAAATAATATATTGCTGTAATTAATTTGTTAATAAACTTCTTTTTGTAATTATTAATATGATTGATTAAGGGATTATATTCTTTCTTTGAATTCTGTCTCGAAAGATAATGGAATGAATATATCCAATAAGTATATTGAAGATCGACTTTATCTTCAGGTATATTGTCTTTGATATCTGTAATCGCATTTGTTAGATAAGCTGACTATAAGCTGGAAATATCAAAAGAAAGTCTTATTTATATGTATCTTCGTTATCCAATCCATTTTCTTTATTATCCTTCTTCTCACTAACAAAATCACTACCACTTCTACTACAACTCGACTCCTCCTCTTCCTCAACAGAACACTTGCCTCATATAATAGAAAAGGCAGATACCCTCTTTGCTACAAGTTGTAAAGAAATATATCAGTAAAGCAAATGTAAAAGAAAGATAAACAACTCATCGCTGTATGTATATCCTCCCACTACTTTAGCTGTATTAGCGATAACTTGTTCTTACTACTGTGTTTTCTTGATAGTATGAAGGACATGTTGATTATTGATTGAGGAATATAAAGAAAATAAATAACCAGAAAAGATTTAAAAGAGAAAGGGAAATTCGGGTGATCTATATGCTTTGAAGGCTTTGTATTATTGTTAGGCTATAGGATAGTTTTCTCCATTTCCTATACATCTTCTTGTTGCGAAAAAAGCAAATTTGCACATATACTTGTTTACCATATTATACTACAATATAAATAATAATGTCTTATTGGAATTACCGATATATTTACGGATTAGATAATTGTAAAGCTTGAGGGTAAGCTTTTTCGAAAAGGGGGGTAGTGTCATAGATTGCATCCAATCACAACTGCGATTGCTTATATGCGCATTTGCACATATGTATGATTATATATATATAGCTAATATATAGAAGTACTCTATGAGTGCTTTATTCCCGATTCTGTAATTATAGATTCTAAGGATAAATTGTACCCTGCTCTTGCAATTCTTTTAAGGCAAAATATCACAAACAGTATAATTGTTATAATCGAATTTAGTAATTTAACTTTTGTGACACTTTGCCTTAAAAGAACTGCAAAAGCAGGGTACAATTTATCCTTAGAATCTACAATTATAGAATCGGGAGCAAAGCGCTTATAAAGCGTTCCTATATATTAGCTATGTACACGTGATCGTGCATGTGCGCAAGCACGCACGTGAGCGATCGCAGCTGCGATTGGGTGCGATCCGTGACAACTTTAATACCAAGAGTTATTCGCTTCTCTACAGGTATAATTCATTTCTATTTCTAAAAGAGAATATTTGATCCAAATTGTTATTAAAATAAAACTTGATTCTTAAGTAAATAGGCTCGTTATAGGCTTTGATTTTTATAATAAAAAAGAAAAAGCAAAAATGAATTACTATTTATTTAATTGAGTAGTAGGGTTTTTGTATTGTATATTGGGTTTGTGGTTTTTAGAGATATAATATATTTAAATGATTAGTTGAGTGGTGAGTTTATAAGAGGTAAGTAGCAAGCTTTGTTGAAAAGATTATTACTTTTTAAGAATCCTTTGTCACGGGATCACCTCTGGGAGTATTCAGAAGCTTTACCGCTGAGCTAAACGCCCAAAAGACTAGGAGGTAGAACTGGAAGTTCTACCTTACTCTCACATATATAGCAGGACAGGACAGGACAGAAAGGGCTTAGTGTCACCCCGTGACATCCTTTAATAATTAGAATAGATCTAAGTATAGAACTTTGAGTTAATGATTAATTGAATAAGCTTGTTAGATATATATAAGAGTTTCTTGATATATATAATTATCTACTTGTTAGATTGTATTTCTATAAAAGCAAGAGGTTAATCTAAATACTTTAAGTCGTTTATAATATATTTAAAAAAAAAAATATAATTCCTTAACACTACCATATAAACAATCCAGCTTATTATTTTAATAACCAAATCACTAATAATAAACAATATAATCGCTATAACCTGTTTTTATAGCTATCAATTGATATAAGACTACTTTTAATAGAATTAATTTCTTTAGCTCCTTTATACTATATCTAAAAGACTACTCCTTATAGCTAATAGAGAAAGAAAAGTTTATCTCTTCCTACTAGGTAGATTCTGTATATAAGCGTTTTTGATAAACGATTATTCGAACCCCACTGATTATTGATAACCGATTTCCCCACTATATGCATGTCCCTACTACGTGCACGACTTTGAAAATATCAACATTATAGCTTCAAATATTGATGATATACCTTTAAAGGCTTATATAGAGCTTGCATTAGATCATTTGAAAGGGGTTCAAGCTCCTAAATATACCCAAACAACTAATTTCTTTAAAATTGATCGATCCACGCTCTCCCGGCGGTATAGAGGTAAAACTACCTTGAGAAAACAGTTCCTTTCCGATACAAAACAAACGCTTTTTAACGATCAGGAGGAGATTTTAATTAATCAAATCAACAAGCTGACATAGAGATCTATCCCTCCTACAAGCCGCATAATCAGAAACCTTACAGAAGAGATCCTAGACAAAGAGATAGGAAAAAACTGAACTAGCAATTTTGTCAAGAGGCATTCAATACATCTTAAAAATCGGTATTTTTGTTGTATTGATAATTTGCGTGTAAAAGTTGATAATGTTGCTATATTTGATTACTTTTATAATCTGGTTTGAGCTATTTTCTATTATTGTTAATCTTTATTACCTAAAACACTCTTGTTAATACCTTTCTTTTTTTAATTTAGTTGATAAAAGTAACCATAAAATACAATATACGGCCGAGAGATATATACAATTGGAATAAAAAGGGCTTTATAATCAGTATAGAAAGAACTATGAAGAGGATAATGAGTGCTAGTGCCTATAATAGAGGCAGAATGATAAAAGCTAAACAAAATGGATCAAGAGAGTTTATCATTTTATTGGCAGCTATATACACTGATAGAACAGCTCTCCCTTCCACTCTTATTTATAAAGGAGACTCAAGGGATCTACAAAATATATAGATTCAGAATGTAGGGGAGAAGAATAAAGCCTATTTTGAAATCTCAAGCAATGGGTGGTTGTTGAATGCTTTTAGCCTATATTGGCTTATAAATGTATTCGATTCTACTACACATCGAAAAGCAGGTGGAAGATATTGTTTATTTATTATCGATAATCATTCTAGTTATGTCAATATGGAATTCCGTTCAAAATACAATAAATTAAAAATTATTGTTTTAATTCTTTTTCCTTATTTTATATATCGATTACAGCCTTTCAACATTGAAACCTTCGATGCCTTTTCAACAAATTACAATATATTATTGAATAATTTGATACACAATAACAAAAGGATTGTTGATATAACAAAGTGTATATTTTGAAGTATATTTAAAAAGGCTTGGGAGCTTACTTGTATAAGGTATAATATCTTACAATCCTTCGAAAAAACGGGTATATATCCTATGAATAGAAGTCTTATGATTGACTATATTGCTCCGGAAGCTTCTCTTACACTACCTATATTATTTAAAACTTGTAGGGATACTTTTACTATACTGTATACATCAAAAGTGATGTATAGAATGAAATTAGAATTTCGTTGCACTCCTACTTATGAAATCACTTTAAAGCTTTTTAAGACTGTAACTACATTAGGAGCTAAAGCTTCTATACAAAGATATAGATCTAAAAATTTAGAAAAAGCTCTAAAACTTGAAAAAAGGAAAAGAGCTCGTTTAAAGTATTTAAATCTTATTAGAGAGAAGAGGAATGGTATGTTTTTATGGTTATCTTCTGCTATTATTAAAGCTAGAGTGTATCAAGAAGATAAAGCATTTAAAGAGGAGCAAGAGAAGAAAGCTAAACTTCAAATAAAAGCTGAAAAGAAAGTTGAAAAGGAATGGAAGGAGATTGAAACGAAAGAGAAGGTATTGCAAAAGGAGGTTGATTATCAGATTACATGTGATACGAAAGAGGAGGTTAAAAAGACTCTAAAATCAACAAAATCTCTAATCAAAAGAAATAAAAAGTTCCTCAAAGTTTCTTCTACTATAGATCTAACATCGACAAAGACTATAGAGCTCTCTGATACTGTAAAAGCTAATAATTCGAAGGGGAAGGAGGAGGAGGTCATATTGCAATCTAGTAGAGGGCGAGCACTACGAATTCCATCGAAATTCAAAATCTGAAGATTTTATTATGTTTTTAGATAGTATTGTATTTTATCATTTATCAATTAAATTGCTAGCTCTTTATCTTATAAATTGGAATTGTTATTAATTTTTAAAGTTATTCAAAAAGGGTGATCGAGATCGTGCATATAGCAGGGACGTGCACGTAGTAGGGAAATCGGTTAGCTTATCAATTGTTTGGTTTATAGATCCAATTGCATTTACATTTGTTAAGTGATCTACTTCCTCATTACCTTCGATCTCTATATATCCAGATAACCACTTTATCTTGATATCAAGTTGTTTTATTGCTTTGTAATACTTGTGGAAGGCCCATTGCGTTGTGGGCGGTGCGTTTCCGTGTATACCCCAGAGATGTATAATATTTACGAATATCAATTCGGGTTTTCAATTTCTTTCAAACGGGAAAATGTAGATATATTTTCCTGTGATTTTCCTATATACATACATACATACATACATACAGGATCCCACTTCACTTAAGTTCTGACCGCCCGATTAGGAGAGGATGGATGAATGGGAGAAGGGATTATCGGGGTATCTACGTATCAGCCATGTAGAAAATATCCGCATCTGATTTTTGAGAAGAGAGCGGGTTGATTTATTTGTGGGATGTGAGATTTGGAAGGGGTCGATTATTTGTTTTCCTGAGTTTGGTCCGATGAATGGACGTGGTACCCCTCTAAATGGACGTGGTAGCACACCCATTACACCTCTCAACGGGCCCTCGGTGTCAACTTGCACATCAGCGGTGGCTTTTCCCAGAAGGTGTATGAATTCTGAACGTCCCACGCCTGCGAATCCGGACAGAGCTCGAGATCGAAGCGCCAGATGATTCGCGCTAGGATGACGCGCATCTCGTTGTAGGCTAGATTGCGGCCGATGCAGTTACGGGGGCCGACGGAGAAGGGCTGCAGCACGTCACGCTTATCGTGGAAGAAGGGCGATTCGGGATCGGTTTTCGCGGCCGGGAGCCAGCGCTCCGGGATGTAGCGTGAGGGCAAGTGGAAATTGAGAGGGGAATCGTATGCGGCGGATTGGTGAACAGCTACCCTGGTCTTGGGGGATTGTTAGTGACTTTTTCGGGATTGATGATTGATGTGCTTCTGATCTTACGTTTGGGGGGATCTCATAGCCTGAAATCATGGTGGTCGAAGTGGTGACTCGTTGCAAGCCGGTCGCAACTGGGGGATACCTTCGAAGGGCCTCTTCAAGACAGGCTAACATGTACGGGAGATTTGCCGTCGCGTTTGCAAAAGTGATGTCCTCTTCCGATTGCATGACCGTTCGCACTTCATGCGTCAACTTTTGCATCGCCTCCGGGTTCTTCAGAAGGAGGAAGGTCACACCCGATAACAACGTGGCGGTTGTTTCGCTGCCGGCGATCACAAGAATACTGGAATTTGCGACTAGCTCTTCATCACTGAGCCCATCTTTCTCCCCGCGATGGCGGAGCATGGAATCCATGAAGTCGACCAGGTCGGAGGGCGCAGGGTTCGCAAGCCTCTTTTGCACCACGGTTTTGCTGTAGTCCCGCTGTCGTTGGCGTGCGCTTGCCAAATCACTGGACATGAAAGGTTTGAGGAATTGGAAGAGCAGAGGATAGATATCCCCGACTTTGACAAACTGCATTGCGCGCACGGATTCGAAAATGGTCGAGACCCAGAAGTGATACCGTGAGTTCTCCAGCCCGTCGAAAGACTGTCCAAAGGCAAGATCGCCAATCAGATCAAATGTGGTCAGGTTATACCACTTCACCATATCGACAGGCACCCGAGACGTTGCTTCGTGCTCCAATTTCGTCATCAGTTTCTCGATGTATTTGTTCAAAATCGGCTCTTGCGCTTGCAGCCCTTTCGCGGAAAAGGCATGAGACATTGATTTGCGGTATCGAGAGTGGTCTGCATCGTTTGCGTTAATGATATCCAGAGGGTTTGCAGCCGAGTGTTTGAACTTGGGCAGTTGTTTATGGCCGTGGCCGTATATGTCCCGCCAGGCTTGGGCGGTGATGAAGGAAACCTCATCGGAAGAAAATCGAACAACCTCGCCATATTTGCGGTGGAGAGCTCGAAGCGCGCTATCTTGCCTCCCTCGAAGCAACGCGAGGTGACGAAATATGGGAAAAGCGATCCACAGTGTGGGGCCGGGGATGTGACTGAGAGGATGGTAGTATAGGACCCGGATGGTGGAAATCACAGTGTACAGAAGATAGAGGAATGCTGCGAAAGCAGCTACGGGCAACATTGTGATGCTCCGAAATCGTATGACAATTTATGTAAAGGAGGTAAAGGAAAGTTGCAGATGCTTTCGCGGGTCTGGTCTCTGATATCTCGCACGGCTTTTATATATCTTCGACATCCAATGTATGTCACTCGGAAGGGTCTTTTCCATGACAATTTTTTCCATGGTATAAACTTTAAATTGGATGAATTGTCTCTTGAAGAAAGCCGCATCGACGCATTATGCAGCGACTGCACCTCGTCTACTTTCCGGCTTCCGGGCGTGTCTCCTATTCGTCTGTCCCTCGGCCGGATTCGAGTGGCCGAAAGTTAGATGGAATAATAAATAATAGGTGTGGTAGGTATTTGATTAAGAAAGTTGAACAGAGACAGAGATAGAGATAGAGGTAATGAAGCAGGAAAGGAAAGAAATCTTTTATTGATAATATATCGATACTACCTAGGTATTTAAAGTACTTATTTTAGTGTACGTATAGTAGATGAGTATATATCTAGGTAAGGAATACGCGTAAAGGAAGAAAGGAAAGAAATTTAATTTCGACGATTTATATTTCATAAGGTATTATTTATAGATTATCTAGATATCTACGAGTACTGTGAGTATGAGTGGGAGTATGAATGAGTAGATTGATATCAGTATCTGTATCTGTATACGAAATACGAAAGTCGAAAGTCGAAAGTCGATTGGTATTGTATTGAATGGAGTATGGTATTATTACCTATATTACCAGTACATTACATTCAATTACACATAAAACAATCACAGAAAAGTCCGAGAATCGCAGTGTGAATGAATAAATGAAGGTTTGAGATCTCGGGCTTGAGACCTCGGCCTCGAATGTTTGAATGGTGGATGATGGATGATGGATGGTGGATGGTGGATAGCCGATGTATTCTGCACTGTGTGCATCATCAACGTGCATCACACACAATTCCACCATAACATACGTGTTGGAGGGGCACGGAGTCTGCAGCCCCTGAATTACAAATGGAGTACGAGCATCGAAATTCTCGCAATACTTGTATTGCATGACTCGAGAATTCTTCATCAATATCGATACTCGACCTTAAAATCCAGACACCAGGAATCTATCGGTTAAAGTACGGTTACTTATATATGTACCGAGGATAATGAGATAGATGGGTTTGTGAGATCAAGATCATGATGCTGATCTGACTGCATATCGTGCATACCGGTATTGTATAACTTTATATCTGTACGAACAGAGTAGGAACCTGTAAATCATTGACGTCATCATGTCCCACATCTTCCACTTCCCCACCACCAAGCTTCGAAATGCACATGAAATGTCATGTCTAGGAGCAGGTTTTCTTCAATCGAGGATTGGATTTTGAGTTGGGATGATGGGACAGACCAATGGAGGAGGAGAAATTACCTAGGTATGATGGTGAGGTATGAGGTAGAATGGTTTTGGCACTAGTGGATGGGGAGCTAGAGGGAGGGGGGATTATTATTGTGCTTGTTTCTTCTTTTCTTTCTTGTTGATGTTTATTTTTATATTTTATATTTTCAATTGAGATTTAGATTTGAGATTTGTTAGGAAGAACGATTAAATTGTAAGTTATTCAGCTCGGTGAGATGAATTGGTGTTTGTACGTCTTTTTCGTTGGTTTCTTGATTGTGTAGTACAGGAGAAGAAGAAGATGAAGAAGAGAAGATGAAGAGTCAATCAACTAATCCCTTTCAATTAGAAATAAAACAATCACATTCATATTCACATTCACCTCAATCAACAACAAACACAAAAATGTCTTTCATCCTCCGTCAATCGATTCGAGCTGCTCGTCCAGTCTCCATCGCTTTCCCCACCAAACGTACATTTGCCATCTCGAGCATGCGAGCTTTAAAAGAGAGTGATAGACGTGAGTTATTTTCTTCTTTGAAATATGATTTGGATGGAATTGTCTGGGAAATTGTATGCGGAGTTACCTCTGCGATATATTGGACCTCATATGTCCGGAGGGGTTGGGATGTAGTAATTGAGTACGAAATACGAGATGCGAGGGCTCTGGTGTATGGATTCTAGGATGATTTGCTGTTCTTGAGTTCTTTTCACTTCTTGTTGCTCTTTTCTAAGGATAATATTCTTATGCACCTTTTCATCTCCGCCCGAAGTCATTGAATCGATTTAAAAATTAAGAGATACTAATTCAATGCATGAAATTTAGATGCCCCAGAAAAAGCTGCGGATTATGAACGTCATAAGCAAGATCAATTGGCCAAACAAAAGGAGGGAAAGAATCACTGGAAACCAGAATTGGCTAGTGATAGTGAAGAAGCTGTAGGTTATTCTTGGTCTTATACTCTATAAATTTTCCTGCGATTGTACAACTCGCCTTCAATATGTGTAAAGAGACAGTAACTCTCAAGAGAAGTCTCGCATGTATGGAAGCTGCACTGAATTCAATCTTCCCATCTGAAATTTTGGTTCAATCAATTGGTGTTCGGAAGGGTCGAGATAGAAAGAAGATCTTGGCTACGAAATCAAGGGGTGTGAAGGATGAGAAAGAGAAGATGGTCTTGGAGGAAAAGATACTTGGGTGGAAATACACCGTATAGGGTTTCTCTTTTGTCTAGTGAGTTGGAGTCGTTGAGAAAAAAGGGAATGTGGGAGGAGGATGTGATTACTTCTGTAAAGGTGGGAGAAGGGGAAGTGGAGATAAGGAGGGGGAACCCCTCGAAAAGGGAGGGACTAGCAAGTGGGGATTGGGGGACTGAGTAGTTTCATCTGCCTTGCTTTCCTTCCTCAATTTTGAGATTTATTTGAATTTATTCATTGGCGTTTTCTTATTTCCTTTTCTTTTTATACTCAGCCCTACGTACAAAATAATTATAAGGAAAGACAGTTCACTAATACAATAACACACAGGTAGCAGCAGATCGCCACGAACATGATGATCATTCCGCAGAGGGACTCAAGGAATTACAAAAGGAGACTGCGGGACATGCCGAAGAGAAACATAAGTGAGATGGTCCTTTGTAATGAGCGAGCGAGTTCTTGAAATATTGTTCATGTGAGATGATTTTTTGTATTTTGGGAATGTAGGATTTTTGGTGAGTGGTTTGCTGATTGTTAAATTTTAGGAATGGAACGAGTCAGGATAGTGGGTTGTAGATTTGGATTTGGGGATTTAGGGGTGGGGTTGAGGAGGGTGGAAATTGAGGAAATACTGTTGAGATGAGGGGGGTGAGGTGTTCCTGGAGGTTTAGGGGAGTGAGAAAGAAGGGAGGTAGGCATGGAAAATGGAGAAAATGGATTGAAGGAAAATGTATGATATGGGTTTAATGACAGTACCATTAATAACATGGCTATCTACGAATGCGATTTCAAAGTTTTTGATGTGAATCAATAGAATGGAATTGAAGAGAAGGTGTGGAGTGAACGATTGAGGATTGAGGATTTGCAATTTAGGGTTTGAGGTTGGGGATTTGGAATTTAAAGCTGAAGTCCGCGATTCTCGTCTTTTTGATATAATGAATAGGTAGATAGATGTATACACATATAGCACCTATATTTATATACCTATCTATCAACTACACATCGAATCTTACAAGTATAAGTTGAGAGAAAAGTAGCTTTCGAAATCTGTATGATAGTATGGATATGAGGAGATGGATATCTGGATAGGTGAAAACAGACTGGATTTTTTTTATTTTTTTTATTTTTATTTTTTTTATATAAGGGAGGGAGAATAAAAAGAAGTTGTGATGGAATGGAAGGTGGAATTTTTGTCTTTTATCTTTTGTTTTCTGGATTTGCGGTTAAGCGAGGGGTTGGGGGAGGGGAGGGAGGGGTGAAGAGGAGTGTAAGAGGTAAAGGGAATTGATTTGTGATGTGCTATCGACTCTAGCGGTATAGATAGTTTAGACCTTGCGAGAAATTTCATCGTCTGGGGGGTTTATGTTCTGTGGGAGTGAGGAGTGATTTTTCTCTCTCGGGTTAGATAGCTTGATTAGGTAGGTATGCAACAATTTATCATCCTGTATATTCGGTTAATACCTAGGTATTATAATTATATATATTCACGATTCTTTGATATTGAAATAGTCTTATTGACGAGGGCAAATGAGTCTTTTTGGTTATTTTTTGTTTATACTATACGTCTAGGTATGAGGGGTGGGGATAGTGTGTGTAGTGTGTGTTCTGTTTATATAATCTCGATGTTTGTAACGCCGAAAACTCCAATAGCTAGTACTCCAAAATTCCAATGGGTTGATGCTTGATGCTTTGATACTATTTAGCTTTAGGAATCTAATATTCCGGTCTGGGAAAGTGGATTTGAAAAGCTGGCTGGGTGGAGATCTTTGGATGTGGGATCTTTGAGAAAGAAATCCAATCTTGGTGTTCGCTCGATTTGGATAGTTGAGATCCCTACGACGGTGGTACTCGGATCTACATAGTTCTCAATTATTTTTTGTTGTTTTCGCTCGCTCTTCTATCGCACTTTGCTTGGGCTTCGGTAACTTAACCTTATGCATCTTCAATCTACGGTTTTTGTCGAGTGCATCTTGACGCAAGAATGGGTTGGCTCCACAATCATTGCCCACTTCACATGTATATATCTATCGTTTTTTCGGATGCTCGTCCTGGTTATGCTTTTCAAGGTCCTCCTCTTTGGAAAAAGTTACGAACCTGCAGTGCAATCCTGGGCACATGAGAGGTGTCTTCTTTTTCTTTGGGGGGTCCGTTCTGCCTGCAGATCCGGATCCGCTGGTGGAATTCGAAGAGCTTGCAACGACGGTGGGAGGTTTGGTAGGTTTGGGGATAGAAGCATTAGTAGTGGGGATTTTGGTGGATTTTGAAGAGCTGGCAGCGGGTGATTCTCTAGGTTCTGGAAAGCTGCCAGGGGAAGGCTTGGGGAGACCCCGAGTGCCATACTTAGGATGTATTCTAGAATTTCCAGTGCTAGTAATGAAACGATCGGAAGGTTGCGAAGAGTTAGAAGCGGGAGGATTTGAAGGGCTAGCCTTGGGATTTCCGGTCTTGGTAGAATCAGTGGCAGGTTTCTTTGATTCTCTGGTTCTAGAGGCATCTCCGCTGGCCTCTGTGTTGTTATTCTCTCGAGACCTCATACTTATAGCTCTTGCTGTATATAAGTTATTGGCAAGTCGATAGACAGATAAAGGTAGACGAAGGTGGATATTTATAGATTTGAATCTGGAAATTATGTTTGTATGAGAATGGGATTCTGTACTCAAAGTCGAGAGAATATGAGATGAGATGATTTATATAATGAAGTAAAAAACGATAGAAAAGGCACTGTTTAAATACGTTTCCACAAACCCTTCTGATCAATCTCTTCATTCAAATTGTTCCACTATGTTGGCGGTGGTGTGTAAAATTTTCATCGTGTTAAGCGTCATATTAATCAATCATACCCTCAGATTATGTTTACCTAGTTCAAAAGTGGTCATCATCAGGACGTATGCAGTACAAGGGCCCTTTTGAAGACCAGTTCGCACGAGATTATATATTGTCTCATCTCAGAACGGTGAGTAGACCTGTAGGCCATGAGGAAATATTGAATTTTTAGGCAGCACAGAAAGAGGTGTTGGAGTTACGCACTCGCTTCTTCACTTCACTAAGGGAGAAGATTAGTTCTTTTTGTAATTCAATATATGACCCTATTATTATCATTTCGTTCAATCACTGTTCTTCCTCGTAATACGCTATTATTGCGTGTAATAATTATTGTTTAATTGTTTGATATAAAAACTCACATTTTGATTGTTTAATATCCAATAAATCATTGTAACAATTTTCAAGATATGTAATTCGATACATTAAGAGATATTCACCAGTTCATTTTTGTAGTGTCCTGTTAGTCCGTACACCCATTAGTAGTATCTTTAGAAAGAAACCCAACGTTTTCAATTGATCTTAGTGTTTGCTCGATTTGAGTAATTGAGATAAGATGTTGAGCAGACTTTTGGTAAGGTATATACACAACGCATATAGGGTTAAAAGGTATTGTAATTCTGTCTACCCAGTCCAGTGCATGTGTGGAGTACAACGTAACATGACCTCATGACACGTTTTATTCACGTGTTGTTGTTTTTGCTAACTATTTATTACGTTCTGCCTGTTTTCTTTGATGCCGGTCCGATCTCAAATGTTTGAGGTATGAATCGTGTCGATCGAATGGTTCCTCTCTACATTCATGGCCAAGTTCGCAATAGTATAAATTTGCCCTGCCCGTATGTATAGTGTCGTAATGCGATCGAAATCTGAACTTCTCAGAGTAGCTCTTGGTTTCACAGCCTTTTTCTGGGCATATGTAACGACCTTCATTGTTCTGTGTGTATGGGTAGTCGGCCCTGGGTTCAGGTTCTGTTCCGCCGGCAGGATTTGAAGAGCTAGCAGTGGGAGGTTTGCCAGAATTCGAAGAGCTGGCGGTGGAAAGTTTGCCAGAATTCGAAGAGTTGGCAGTGGAAAGTTTCTTTACTGGATCTCTAGTCCTAGAGGCGCTAGCAGACCGATTACGCTTGCCTTTTTCTCTGGCACTACTACGACCCTCCCTTCCTTGTACTCCCGCATTATCTGTTCTTGGTTTACTACCGCTTCCACTTGAAGGTTGACTAGCGACTAGAGGAACACTTGGCTTGCGCTTTTGTGGTTCTTTCCCCCTCTTCAGATTGTCATAATCCGTTGCATCCTTAGATGCAGTTCCTCTGTCATTAGGAAGTTTTGGAGGACCATCTATTGATAAATTTGCCATTGCCGTTTCGGCCTTTTCATGGGCCTCTTTGCTGGCATCGTTGCGGTCTCTCTTAATTATAGCTCTTGCTACATTTCTGTCCTCATAATTCTTATAATCATATCTTGAAGCATTGGCTTTTTTCATCACTTCTTCACTTGACCATTCTTTTCGCCCCTTACGTATATCTCTTGCAACGTGTCTATCGGCGTAATCTTGTGCATTGTCAGATTCTGTGGCATATGCTTTGCGTTTCAATGTAGCATCGTCCCACTCGAACCACAGTGAGCTATCAGTTACAGAAACTTTGGACATTGTGAATACTGTGATATAAGTTGTTGGATAGTCGATAGACGGGTGAAGGTGAATAGTTGTGGATTTTGAATCTGGAAATTGTGTTTGTATGAAAATGAGATTCTATAATAGAAATCGAGAGAAAATGAGATGGATTGACTTATATAGGGAGCAATGAGCAATCGCAAAGATTATGTTTACGTGCATTGCTATAAATACACATTTCTAAAAATAATCTATTTTGGCCTGCTCGATAAGTGGTCAAAATCAGGACATACGTAGTACAAGGGCCCATTTGGCGTTCATTCCGCACGAAATTATAAACTGCCTACTTATAGACGAGTGAGTAGACCTACTGATTACTATTTGGAGCCAACAAGTTACTAGAAACCATAGAAAGAGGATTGATTTTGTTCGAGGTCCGGATTTTGAAGGAGACATTGGAGCAGGATTATGTACTCGCTTAATTGTCAAATTGAAGGATTTTTATAAGTTCAACGTTGAGGAATTTAAATCGTTCTAAAGCTAAATGATAAATATCTTGAGATACAAACTTTCCTTACAATAATCTAAATTAATGATCAGAATAAATTAAGTATATTCGGAAACCTTAGAGTCTTTCAAGTCGAGAATCTTGAACAATTTCAATCCAATTCAATTCTATAAGTCTCGACAGAAAATTAAGCAAATACTTCAACAAAATAGAGCAAATGTGGGGATTAGTAGATTTAAAATATGAGATGCTTAATAGGAAGATGTGAAGAAGTCTTTCATCTTCTAAAAAGAAATTTCATGCCCCTTGAGTCGAATGATCGATAACACGAGTTCTTTAGCAACCTTTGATACCGAATTTTCGAAACATAGAAAGTTGTTGAACTATTGGGAAGTACGAGTGTTCTCTAGCTCTCTAATTAATTGAGAGCTGTATGGGAGTGAGAGTATAGTGGTATTGGTCTGTTATATTCTCAAGAGTTTTGGTTACTACCGTACTTTATTTTTGCACTACTTCAACACAGGATTGATGAGGACATAGTACACAAATGGAGGCGCGTAAAAGAATCATTTCGTAGCTGAGAATGCTCCTGTTTACTACCCGCTATCTTAACTAGCGCACACCAAGTTCGTTTTTGCGTTTCTGACATCATTCGTGGAACGCGGCTTCATTTCTGTCTAACTGTATATGTGCGAGTCGAAGGGACAAAAAAATGGGTCATCGAAATGTATATTTTATCTCTTCTGAGTCATCACATATAGTTCTTCTTCGCTGTCGAAGTTTTTGTTTCTTAATGTCGCAGTTCTTTCGATAGTTTTTTCTTTACTGTCCATATAGACGAAATACATTCCATGATGACTTAACGACTGATCACTCGACATTGTCATCGGTTGATCCATCGAATTACTGATCGTTATACCTAGGGAGTGAAAACTAGATGTACATCGGTTTCTCAAATAGACGGCTGTAACTCCAATAGATTTTGAGGAAAAACGAAGTCATCACCACAAATGGAGAATTCTTAGCTCGGAAACGCTTAATTCTATTATTAGACCATGTGATTCACTCACTGATAATTACAGCTAAAAGGGATAGGACTTGGGATGAAGTACACAAGCAGATTTTGTCTTCTATAAAGAGCCCTTCTTATCCTGTCTACTTTTCTCAATAGTAAAAGGATTGAAGGCCAAGCAAGAGCAGGTGTTTCATAGGGCTATTTCTACAGTGCATACAATTGGAGAAGTCCAATTTAACTTAGCTTTGACAAATAATGCTATTGTTTTTCAGCTGCAGATTCTTTGTAGCAAGTACGACTCTCACCGGAGAGCCTTTCTACCATATGCTGCTTTGCGTTGATACAAATTGAATGTCGGTGGAATATGTTGTTGCTACTTAATCACTGTCCATTCCGAAGTTGTCGTTGTTTGTCATGGTTTTATGGTTCTACAGATATTACCTTGGAAATAAGTGTCCCAAAACACATGTTCTTTAATCCTGGATATGACTGTGCTGAACTGGAAGTAAGTTGTGCCATATCATTGTGTTGTTGGCAACTATGTCAATAGCTCTAGTGGTCACAAAGACACAACACAGCGTTAAGAAGGCAGGGCTTCCCGCCGTTCTTTTCACTCTGTTGGCTCCTACGCGACTCCAATAAGCAGCTACTAGGCCTCTCTGATTAGGTATCTTCAGATATGGAGTGCCGCATGTACGTCTTGGCGTCTGAGGTGCCAAACCCTATTGTGAGGACCGTATACCTGTTTCCTCAAGCGTCGGTTGGTTTATTATGAATGCGACGACCACTTAAATAGAGATCTATGTTCTGTTTAAGTGAGGAGAAGCAGGGATACTCACTCTTGTGAAGAATTTCACATGTGAATGACTGCATCTGGTACCCACTGGATATGGAAGCAGAGTGAATCAGATCGAAAAGAGAAGAAAGAGGCATCAGAAGTCTGTAAAAAAGCAAACCTCCTTCCTAAAAAATTCTGCATATGTGTCACTGGAAATTGAGCAGACGCCTTCCATGTGGTCTACGATGAGAGATGGAGAAACATCTCTTAGATTCCAGACTGTACACTTGGAAGGTCACCAATCACTCAATACTCATCTGAAGAATAAAATAAATTATGATAATCTCAGCTGATCAGTAGATTGTGATTATTCATCGCCGAATACTTTTCTATATCGCCTGTCACTTATATGTTCGCATTGTCGCTCATCTTGCCACCACTTTCATTGTCGTCAGATGATCTATCGACTTCCATTCTTATACATGCAGATATGCAGATATTATTTAGGTCAACGTTTAACTATATTAATATTCGCCACGCAGAAAGAAGGGCGTTTCACAAACCATGGATCATCTTTGTGCTTTTCAAAGCTGCCATAAATATGCTAGATCTTCGTACAATGGCGACTTAAATAGAAGTCTAGACCTTCTTGACAGTATTCCGAAGCGGGGTCCGGAGTAGTAGCTCATAAAATATTCACTTAGCACGCATATTGGGCACTTAGCCCAATACAATCATCCATACGATTGAAAGACTTGTACTGTGGTCATAAGACGTACAATGAATAGCTGAATAGTGGTGGATATTTTCAAAAGTGGTATGAGTGGAGGGCTCCTTTTAAGAGCCGAAGTAGCCCAAGCTAGATTCTGCGTGCTAAAGAACGCATTAATAAGAGTATATTAGTTGCGATCAACTGTTTTCTACATAACGTGTTCTTCCTCCGAAAAATAGCACCAAAGAGTTCGCTTAAGTTGGTGTCAGATGTTTGAGTGCAATTTCGTCAGCGTCTTCATTGGCCGTCTCATCTTGTTTCCACTGTCTTTCAACATCTCTCACTGTCGGATTCTAGTAAATTTTCTATTTCTATGATCTTGAACCCGAATATCAAATATCAATATCCAGGATATTTGTACTTCAATATTTTGTCAAAACAGTTAACACCACTGCATATACCAGCCCCTTGCGAGGCTTTATGGGTTGCTTCTGGACTATGATCCCATCTCGATACCCACTACAACGAGCTTTTATAAAGAGGAGTTTGGAAAATCAGAAGAGGTGGCCTGGATTTCTAGTCTACGGAAAGATAAGGATTGAGTTCAATAGTAGTGAATGTATTTACGAGCAGAGCTCTTGAGTGAACAAAAAAGGAGAAGAATAGGAATCCGCTCACTTGAGAAGGCCAAGTGAATCATTCCATTATTGACAACTTTTATCCTGGTCACTAATTTGTGATATCTACTGTTTTCCCACGAAAAAGCACCAAAAGCAATGGAAAGAATTGTGCTTGCCCTTACTCTGGAGCACACTACCCAGAGCTATTTCTACAGATTGAAGCTACTTAGAAAGAAAGCCTCATATATTGTACATCTCATTCTAAATCTCCGAATTTCATAATCTCACATCCACTTCACAACCCCTCTACCAAGCACAAACCTCCCCCGTCGCCGCATCCAAGAAACTCCCCGATTGTTCCTTCTTCACTCTATCAAACAACCTCACCAACTGCTCAATACAATCCTCAAACGCCGTAGGCGCCTCTCCCATTCCCACTCCCCTCGCCGCCTCATTCCCCATATCCGTCTTGACCCACCCCGGATTAAACACCACACTCGTCACCTCCGGTACTTCAAACGAAAGCTTCCTCACCATATAATTAACCGCCGCTTTACTCATCCCATAAGAAGCAAACGGAACCCGAACCTCCTCACACGCAGCAATCGAACCCAACAACGAAGAAATAGTAAAGAACCGCGGATTCTCAGAAGCGAGAAGAAGCGGATGGAATGCTTGAAATAGTAATAAAGGTGCAATAGTATTAACATCGATATGTCTCCTAATCGATTCTGGCGAGGATTTCAAAACCGGGACGATGGCGTCAGATTCCATCATTCCAGCGTTGGAGATGAGGACATCGAGTTTGGTGATTCCGTGTGTGGATTTCAGCTCGGAGACGGCGGTCAGGGGGTCGGTTTCGGAAGTGGAATCGATTTTTATGGGTATGATTTTGCTGTTTTGGCCGAGGGGGATGGAGGAGAAGATGGGGATGGAGGAGGAGAGAGTGCGCACGGCGGCGATGACGATGGTGTTTGGGCGGGAAACCAGCTTAGTGAGGAGACCTTTGCCGATTCCGCGGTTGGCGCCGGTGATGAGGTAGGTGGTTTCGGACATGCTGAGAAGAATGATGTGATGAAGTGTGGGACTGGGATGATAGAATCGATCGAAGCTTGACTGAAAAGCTCTCTCGCTTGAAAATAAAAACAAAACAAAATCATTAATTCCGTCCATCCATCCTCCTCATATACCAAAATCTCACGAGATGAACCCAACACTTCCCCACTGTTGTATCCACCCATTTATATCAATCACAAATCCCGATGATTTCACATCACGAAAATATATCCGAAAATCCGAAAATGACATAAGTGACTAGAAAAACTTCAAAAGCCACCTTGTACAAAAAGCCAAACCGATATCATATAGAACCAGTTCAGTTCCTTCACATGGAACAATATCACTGAATTAGGCGATCAGCCTCGAGAATCGCTACTACCTATGTAAGGTTATTTATTTATATCAAGTAAATAATTCAAGTAATCTCTCCTCCTTCGTTTTTAGCCAGTAAGCAGCCCTTTCAAATCTCAGGATAAAATTTCCCATGGTCCATCGATGAGTAAAAGCTAGACCGGCTCGCCGGGGTGTTCAATTGAGAATCCATATATGTAACAAAGATACATACACACTACCCCACCTCCTCACAAATCTAGCACGCGAGCACGCTTAACAATACCACATCAGGATACAGCCCCTTTTTCTCACATACCTACTCTGTGGTATGACAGGATTCGGCTACAGCATGAATACATCAGTATGCCCAATTTAATATTTCCATCGCTATCCGCAGCTGTTTGCTTACATTCTTATCGAAATGCGTGTAGATTAGGTTGTTTTGAGCACATAATTGAACCATCACGACGAAGTCTACAAAAAGTATAACAGACAGTTAGAAGGAAAGAAAACAAACTATGGATTCGATATCATAGTCACTAATGTATATACTCACAATACTCTGTAAACAACACCCGATAAAATCCGATGGATTATCTATATTTTAATAGTATAAAGAATGAAGACTATATAACAATAGCACTTTCGCATACATCAAGTACAAATCTACCTTGTATCAATTCAATTCAATTCATCCTCGTTGTCAAAAAAACTGTTGTACCATTCATTCATTCACTCATTCATGTAGACAATATTTGCATCTTCCCCATCCAAAGCCTCCAACCGGTCGCATATAAACATTGTTCCTTTCCATTTCCCTTTCCCGCATCGAGCTACCCAACTATACAACCAACGCCTGCTCTAAATACATTTCCATTGAGTTGAGCCCCTCCCATGACGCCAAAATTTGTAAACCATGACTCCATTGCTGAAAGTAGCCAATTGTCGTAGATATCAAGCAGCGCCTTGACGACGGTAAAAGATCATAACAGTTCGATAGCTTTGTGTATCAGCAAAAGTTTTACCTGGTATCACTCTACTATCATTGAACTCGTGCCAATTATCGGTCCATCTGTTATTCGGATCTATCCTACGGACCAACGCCCAATAGTGCCCAGATTCCGTTGATCCACTGTGTTGTACCGCGGCATAACAATCGTATAAGAATGGTGGTTTCTGATGCGGAAGAACTCGATCCGAATATCCGTCTTTCTGTGATAGCCATGTGTACTCTGCCATATCAAGAACCAATGGAAAGTTTACTTGAACATTTAAGCGATTACCCTGTATTTCACCAGCCATTTGAGCTACCTTGAAAGGAAAGACGAGGTAGTCCGGGAGACTAGAAAAGAGCTGCCTCTGGATTTTGGTGCGCGAGTGTGTGACACCACATCCATCGCAATCCAATCCCGTTCTCTCTTCAGTCAGGCAATACGTCCGAAGCAGAGAGTGCAAATTTTGATTTAACCCTCCATTCGGATCAACCCCTAGATATATTATAGGAGATAACATATCTGAGGTGACGCTAGTGTCCTTACAAGTCTCACAAACTATCTCATACATCTTTTGATTACAGACAAGTTTTGCTAGGGGCGAATTCAACGTTTCAAGGGCCCTTTCGTATCCTTCGCGACAGTTTTGAGTTCTTGGCAATTCACTTTTCTCCTTTGCAGAAAAAGTTGAGACATCACCTAAAAGTCCAGTCTTGTCGCGATGGATATTTTGTTCGTCCATGATAACATCAAAAAGCCAAGCTAAAAACTCGTTGGCATCATGCTGTCTAGCAGTTCCAAAAGTTGTATCGGGTCTATGATGGTCACCCATGCGAGACTGATCAAGGCCTATGTAACCTTCATGGCCAACAGCAGTTGCATGGACGTATTGCTACAAATTGTTAGCCGATGGAATTCGTAGATTATAAAAAGCTTACTTGAAACATTCTTGGAACAATCTCGTCGTACTTCCCACACCACATATGCTGTAGCAAGCTGCGCAGAGCCCGGGTCATCAACAGCCTCGGGGGGCTATCTTCGCCTGGTTTTTTCGGGACTTCCGGAATACAAGGATATTGGAATTTAATAAACATGTTTCTTATTCCTGGCGAGGAACCAATAGCCTGGACAATGGCGTTCATGTAACAGAGACCACCCGTGATGTTTCTTAATCCACAGAGACCAGGGTCTATTACGGGTGGAGCGCTGGAATTTCCTCCTGTCATGGCATAATTCTTGTAGGGTGTCTGTTCGAAAATGCCATTAGATCTCTGTCTTGGAAGAGCCGGTGGCGGACGAGTTGGTGGGGCTGAAATTTTTGATCCATCATAGAGAGGCAATGACCTTGGCATTGATGGCGAGGCCATGGATTGCTTGATTGATGGAAGCTCTGGGTATCTCCTCATGAAGTCCTCGGTAGTTCTGGCATAATAAGATTCGTCCATGGCAGAATCCTGAGCAGGTGATTCATCGTCGGAATTTTGTTTTAAAGCTTGATCCCATTTTTCTTCCTCTGCTGCTGATAAAGTTCGTAATCTAGGTGTTCTCTTTGCGACTAAACCTCTTCGAGCTATAGAAACTCGACCCAAACCTTGATGGTCATGTTTCTTGTTTCTGACCAGAGATTTATTGCCAGGCATTTCGCTCTTTAATACATTCGGCCCAAAGAGGTCTATCCAAGAGTCTAGACCGCCAACAAGTAGCATTGGTCGTCGCTTCAATCGATGATCGTAAGCATGATCGTAGATAATTTTACTAAATTGTTGCAAATGATTAAGAGGTTCGCCTGGAACATGTTCCGTGTTTATTGGCATCGACGATTGATCGTAATAGACTATCAAGTCAAATGTATGCCTCTGATCGTACAACCTTTGTTCCGGTTCAGGAGATAGAACAATTCCCTCCCCAAGATCTTCTGCGGACATGTCTTTTCGTAGAGCTATAGGTTCAATGCAAATGATCGATGAGGCCATGATGTGCCCCTCATTGAATTCTTCTCTGCTTCTAATATCCACGATCAAGACACTCAAGGTTTTAGAGCCCATTTTGAGAAAACCATGAAGCTGCTCGGCAGTAATAGTTGTAGCGTTGGGTATTGATGGCTTGTCAATCCGGGGTTCAGGCTCAGGATGACCATGGTCAAATGTGTAATTATTGACCTCAGAGTTAGAGAAATAATCAGTTGCATCGTCAACTACGATTCGATTGCGAGAGACTTTTGCGACTGAATTAGAAGGCTCTCTTTTTCCGTTAAAGTAGGAAGACCCTCGAGATAACAGTGGCGGTTGACTGTTAGTCGAAACCACGTCTGTACTACGGGCTGGACTATAGATTGCATCAGGCATTCTCGGCATCATGGGAACACTAGTATCCATGTCAAGGATGGGTTTTTCTGTCTTGAGAGTTGCTGGGCTCATTGGCATTTCTCTTGGGCCGAGAGGCCGCAATATACTCGCATTTTGCTTGTACTGCGATGCCGAATTGATTGACTTTTGGTCTATTTTGATTTCATCTGGAATAGTAATTTGTTGAGTCCTAATCCTAGGATCTTGAGTAGGGGTTGTAGTATTTTGACTCCTCAAACGTGCGAATCTTGCGGCCAAGTCGCTCTCGGATGAGCTGGGCAGACTGGATGATACGCCATTTGCTGTTTGTATAGAATTGCCATGAAGCCCTTGTGGTTTCGGTTGTATCACTGGCTTTTGACGGGGTTCAATCTTTTTATTGGTTGGGTTGCTATTGACATCGGATATGGTTGGCTTGAATGCAATGTTATTGGCATTTCCAGGAACAGATTGTCCATTGTACGGAAGTAAACTAGATGGGCTGACTCCGGTTCTTGTGTTATCCTCCTTGATTATTTTCTTGACTTCCTCGAATTTATGATGTTGTACATTGAGCCGTTTCTGCAAGCCAGCGTATAGTCGAGTGTAATCCGACCTACTCCTTAGATCTGGATAATGCGGACTCTGGGGGATATATTCCACGGCTATTGTAAAGGCTATGATGTACTGTTGAAGAGCCAAGTCCAGGCGTTTAAAGTCTAGGTATGTTTCCGCATGTTTCGCGGCTTCTTCGCCAGCTTCCAGCAACTTCCGTAACGAGGACTGTCTATCGACAAGTGGTTTCGCATTCACCAGATCGTCTAGATGCGGTAGTATTCGACTACTAGCATTCAAAGTGCCAGTACCATTAACGCCATCTTTCTTTGTGTTGTTGATTGGCCCAGTTCCATTGATTGAGGTAGTTCGCAGGTGGGGGCCACCGATGGCCGCTGGACTCATGGTTATAGATTTTCAAAATGCCGCTGGAGCATTCTGTTCTATGATGGAGGAGCTGGGTGTCGAATTAAGTTAAATCGTACTCTTTTAAGTTTTGGGTGGTTGAAAGGGAGACGGGAAACGACAAGAAATGTTCTGGGACCCGATATACGTGAACGGGGGATGTTCAAAGAAAGTCGAATGAAAGGAGATCAAAGAATAAATCGATGTGAAGACCGAGATGCGATTATCGAGTCGGGAAAAGGTATTGTCGTTACTTGTTGTCTTTATTGTTGCTTTGCGCCACATGCATTCTTCGAAGGCTTGAATTCCTTATGCATCAAGTATGGAGGAGATCCGTGGACTTTCGACCAGAGGATGGTTGTATACCGGTGGTAGAGTATAATCTTTATCGATAGTGGGCGGTGAGTGAGATTTGTTACTAAGTATAGTCCGTTTAGGAATGGATATGGACAGCCCGAGGTGGTAGTAAGTTGAGTTGGAGAATGATGAGTGCCGGTATTTCAACACCTTACGAATTATGGGATTGAAGAGGACTTTCAACCATGAAGCTCTCTTGATATCTTCTTTCATAGACGCATAGAATATGAATAATGAACAATATCTCTACGCGATGCCAAGACAGAGAGAGTATCCATGGATGTGCACGCAGTCATTAATATAGCACGAATCACCTGTATAGCGACCGGTACCTTGAACTGTCGAACGGTGATTTGAATGATGTCTACTACTACTAGGTCGGTATTCAATACTAGGTAGGTCCCAGGTTTCCCTAGTATGTGTGTGTGTGTTTGCCGCATGGAAATTGGATCATATTCAACGTAAACCTATCAATCTATACTAAATTCACCCTCATGATGCTCAGCACGTGCCATAAAATGCCCATAGTAATCACTTCTCATACATACAAGAGCATTCTAGCTTCATTAGTCATTTGTTTTAGAGCCACCCCCACCCCCATTGATTCAATCGTCACATTCACCAGCTTCGCATAACATCAACTTTACAATCAACCTACCTAGTACCTCAATACTCCGTACAAACATCCTCTTTACTGCAAACCCCTACCTACAAATTAGGTATCGACATACGACATACGACATAAAGATCTAATTTAATCTCATTTCGCATCAAATATTGGAGTATTCTATCGGAGAAAGGAACAGGGAAAGAAAAGGCTGAGCCCTCACACAACCATTTACCACTTCGTCATTTTGAAGCAGCCTTTTCTACAAATCACGAATACCTGACTATCAAATCCATTACACCCGTCTCCGCCCGAAACCCAAGATTCGAGCATATTAATAATTTCTTTCGAAATCGCCAAGATGATGGCAGGATGGTTCGCATCCAACTCTGCTTTGGATGAGCAGATTGAAAAAGCTACCAACTCTTCCTTGTTAGTCTTGAATTCCATCGAGAAGAGGGGGAACACTGCTGACATCAATCAGAGAGGATATCGCACTCAACCTCGAGATTTCCGATGTGATCCGTTCCAAAACTGTACGCGCAAATGAAGCTATGCGATCACTGAAACGGCGCATAGGCAACAAGAATCCCAACTTTCAACTCAGTGCACTAAATGTATAAATGACTAGGCTCCATTTATTGATGACTCTTTACTAATTCTGTTTGCAGCTCACGGATACCTGCGTCAAAAATGGCGGTTCGCACTTCCTTGTCGAAATTGCATCGCGAGAGTTTATGGATAATTTGGTTTCACTTCTCAAGGCATATGGCGGAGCTGCAGTTAATGACGACGTCAAGAACAAAATATTGGAGCTTATTCAGAGCTGGGCTACAGCGACCGAGGGTCGCAGCGAATTGTCTTACATTGGAGAGACCTATAGAGCTCTACAAAGAGAGGGGTTCCGATTTCCTCCCAAGACTGATGTCGCAAGTAGTATGCTGGATAGTAGTGCTGTGAGTAGATCATTGCTCCCTAGTAGGCTTTTATTGACCTGTTACAAGCCACCAGAATGGATAGACTCAGATGTTTGTATGCGATGTCGAACATCATTTAGCTTCACAAATCGAAAGCACCATTGCCGAAATTGTGGCAATGTTTTCGATCAACAATGCTCAAGCAAAACCTTACCCCTTCCTCACCTTGGTATTCTACAACCTGTTAGAGTAGATGATGGTTGTTACATAAAACTCACCGATAAATCTTCCAAGGGTCCTACATTTACCAATGAACGATCCCCTACGCACACATCCCACCACAAACATAAATCACATGCATCCATGCAACCTCGAGACGCCCGGGTGGATGACGGTTTTGATGAAGATCTCAAGCGAGCTTTGGCAATGAGTCTGGAGGAGGTCAATGGTCACTCGGGGGCTGGCTATGTTCCACAATCGAAACTTCAGCCTGTACCAGAATCCCGCGAACCCCCAAGTAAAGGGGTTATAACAGACGCAGGCAAGTCTGGAGAGGAAGAAGATGACGATTTAAAAGCGGCGATTGCAGCATCACTGGCCGATATGGAAGAACAGAAGAAAAAGCATACAGCTACCATTAAGGAGCAATCCTCCATTATTAATTTGAACAACTCTTCCACAGGCCACATCAGTCTCCCGAAGAACGATTACGAACTCACCCCTGTTGAGGCAGAAAATATCAATCTCTTCTCCACCCTCGTAGATAGACTACAGACCCAGCCGCCGGGGACAATTCTACGAGAGCCGCAAATCCAAGAGCTTTATGATAGCATTGGTACTCTTCGTCCAAAATTGGCCCGCACCTACGGAGAAACAATGAGCAAGCATGGTTTGTAATTATTTAGTATTCTATATACTCTGGCTAACAATTCATAGATGCTCTACTTGATTTACATGCCAAGCTTTCCACCGTTGTACGGTATTACGATCGTATGCTCGAGGAACGTTTGTCAAACACGTATAATCAACACAACATTGGGGGTTACAATCCTCCCCCGCAGGCTGCTGGACCTAGCATGTATCCTTCTATTTCTTCCAATGTACCCAATGGAAGTGGAGGGGCAGAAAGCTTTTATACGGGTAATTCTCAACGAGATTCATACGCACCGCCCCAATCCACATATTCCTACCCTACTGGTCAACAACAGCACCCTGCATACAACAAAAGGTCTTCTGTTTCCGATATCAATTATCCTACACTAGACCAGCGTAATGAGAACTATTCCCAGCAACAAGGTCATCAAATTCAACGCCAACATACTGGTAACTGGCAAACGAATGAGATTGCTCCTCAATACTCGGCTCCCCCGGCCCCTTTTCCACCCCAACAGCAACACCAGCCCCCCGTCCAAGCTCAAACACCTCAAGGTGTTCCATCTCAACCTCCTGCAAATTTTGCTCCATCGGAGTCAATTAATAAGACATCTACAGATCCTAATGCAGCGGCTTACTATGGGACTCCGGTTTCTCATCAAACCCAGCCAGCACAGGATCAATCAAAACCACAGTATTCAGTCCAGTCACCTCCTCAGTACCCGCATGCACCATCGCCTCAACAATTTAACCATCAACCACCAAACCCACAAGAGCCATCGTATCCTACTCCTCAACAGCAACCCCCATACTGGCAATCACAGCAACAGGCTCCAGCGCCTCAACAATCATGGCCTGCGCCTCCTGTATCGAGTTTTAACGGATACTCTCAAGAATCGTTCCCCTCTGCTCCACAAAATGTCCCGCAGGCTAAGGTAGTGGAAGAAAGTCTCATAGATCTTTGAGTTCATTCAAAGAAGCGAGGTGTTTTTGTGGTGCGAGTTACGTCTATGCATTTCTCTGTATCTCAGTTGGCAGAGTTCATTTCGAGGCTGGAGTTAAAAGATATCATGGAATCGAATGAATTTACGGACATCATATTCCCGGAGGAAATTGTATACTTATATTGATAGTGTAATGAAACCTGTCTTTAATTTGTGATGAGAAACATCGTCCAATTCACCCTTAAATATTTGATGTGTTCATCACGCTGAAAGAAAGCAACTATGGTCTTCTTATTATAGTACTACAGTGAAATGTATGACTTTTCTGAGATTTGTCGTCTTTGACTGTATGAAGTTCATTGCTAATAAGCAGATCTCTATACTTGTCTATTACTATTGTGTGCTAAGCTTTCTTATTAATTGTCTACCAACTAGGTAGTAAGTATCTAGTTGAGTGTATCGCACGCCACTCTGTATACTATCTTGAACTTTAAGGCAATAAACGCCATCCATACCTACGTTAATGACTCTAGCTTGATTAATTCTGGCAAGGCTTGAACAGATATCCATATACCTATGTAGTACCTGCCACCTGCCTATCAAGGTATGGTTTGGATTCGAACGGCTTGAAGCTAAAATCTAATTGAGATTTGAACCATAATACTAGTACAAATAGATGTGCCCTCCTTACCTATTTCGGATAATGATAGCTCGGAGCCCAAGCTTTCTTTCTTGATCTAAGGGTGACTAATCAAGCCCCTCGTACCACCACCAGCACCAGCACTACTAGCCTAGCTTCATCAATGACGATATTGAACCCCACGGTCATTGGAAACCTTTACTATAATTTCCAATTTCCATCCCATACATAAAAACTCGATTACCACAAACTTTTCTCACAAATTCTTCTCAATAACTTCATACTTCTCACCGACACGCAAACAATTATATCAAGTTTACAATCATATAGGTCGAATACACATAATTCTCGATATCCATTACAAAATGTCTCGCCACAAGTTTGTCAAAGCAATGGCTCTCGATTACGATGACGCAGATGACATTTACGAAGAAGATTACGATGAGGAGGAAGCTGGTCAAGGTACGAATGAGATTCCTTTTGCATATTTTCGACTGCCTCTTCGCAGACATTGGCTAATTCGTGGTATAAGAACTGAGCGAAGAAGATCAAGAACAAATGCGAGAAGGAACAATCAAAGTGCGCGAAATCTTACCGGCCGATTCGACCAATTTCACGGATAAGCAAATACAAGAAGCCTTGTGGCATTATTATTACGATATAGAAAAGTCAGTCACGTACTTGCTCAATACTTTAACGCCTAAAGTTCCTAAGAAAGCTGCTGGAAAGAAAGGTTCTGGTGAGTTGATTTCATTACGTCTTGATAGTTTTTTTTTTCTTTTGTGTTTTCGTCTCTTTTTTGTCGCATAAGAAATACATACATTATTTGGACCGGAGGTGGGTTCCTCGTCTTACATTTTGTTACCCTTCTTTTCAATGTTACTCTAGCTAATGCTGATGATAGATGTCTACAATGAAGATTATTCTTCCTCAATACACACTACAACCTCGTCTGCCAAAAACTTCTTTGCCGATACGCCATGGTTCAAAATACCTTCTGAACGTCTTGCAAAATTCACACCTCCACCACAATTCCCAGGCGGGCTTTTGGGAGGTTCTTCTGGAGGTGCTCCAAAGATGTCAAAGTTACAGGCTTTAGCGGCGGCACGGAAAAAGAAGGCACAAGAGCAGCAGAGCTCGTCCTTGGAGGTCGAAAAGCCTATGGCAAATCTTTCTCTAGACCAAACTGGGGGTGGAAGCTCAACGGAACCGCACGATGATAAGTCTACAGCAAGTAGCAGCGACTCATTATCCAAGGATGCAAAACATGGAGGATTTCCATTAAGGAAACGCAAAGATTCCAACCCGCACGAAAAGGTCCTTAAGCCGCAACCAACCTCCAGGGGCTATAAGACAGAGATTGAGCCCGCAGTTGAAGAATCTTCTCCTGTCTACCAGGCTAGCCCATCTGCTTTCGCTAGCACCATGTTTCAAACTGCAAGCGCAAGTCCGAGACGCCCTTCGGAGAATAATTTTACCATGCCGTATACTTCAGAAGTCCTGATTATGCCAGCTAACCCCTTTTCAGGACCTAGTCCAGACGACGTTGTTATAGCAGCGCAGTCGAAAGGTTCGGTACTTTCTGCGACATCAAAGAAATGAAACTAATCATATAGTAGCCGCTGGTAAAGGAAAAAAGGGACCGGCAAAGGGTCCAGCAAAAGTAGAGGGGTCAACTGATGTTGAAACACACAAGATAAAGAGCAAAGATTTAGATGTTTTAGCAGAATTCGAGAAAGCCAAAAGTAAAAATGCAGCGAACTTTGTAGTTATAGGTATATTAATATTATCAAGTCTTCACTCCACTTTCTAACCTTGACAGGTCACGTTGACGCTGGAAAAAGTACTTTGATGGGTCGTCTGCTTTACGACCTAAAAGTTGTAGATCAAAGAACAGTAGACCGTTATCGTAAGGAGGCAGAAGCAATGGGCAAATCTTCATTCGCTCTTGCCTGGGTTCTGGACCAAGGAACGGAAGAACGTAGCAGGGGAGTAACAATCGATATTGCGATGAACAAGTTCGAAACCGAAAAGACAGCATTCACAATTCTTGATGCTCCTGGTCATCGCGATTTTATTCCGAATATGATTGCTGGAGCAAGTCAAGCAGACTTCGCTGTGTTAGTAATTGACGCCAGTGTTGGATCTTTTGAATCGGGATTAAAAGGACAGACGAAAGAACATGCATTATTGGCTCGAAGTATGGGTGTTCAACGAATCATTATAGCAGTTAACAAATTAGATACTGTCAGCTGGTCACAAGAACGTTTTGATGAAATTTCACAACAAGTTTCTGCTTTCCTTACAGCAGCTGGATTCCAAGAACAGAACATCAAATTTATACCGTGTTCTGGCCTTCATGGTGATAACATCGCCAGAAAATCAACAGAACAAGCAGCGGCATGGTATACAGGACCAACTCTTGTAGAGGAACTCGATCATTCTGAACCAGTAGCCAGAGCTCTGACCAAACCCCTTCGCTTAACCATCGGCGATATCTTCCGCGGCGGCGTACAAAATCCATTGAGTATATCCGGACGCATCGAAGCCGGCTCTCTTCAAGTGGGCGATCAACTACTAGCACAACCTAGCAACGAAAAATGTTTCATCAAAGGCCTCGAAATGGATAGCGAACCGGTTGATTGGGCAGTCGCTGGCCAAATCATCACAATCCATCTTAGCGATATCGATCAAGCCCATCTCAAAATCGGCGATGTGCTTTGCACACCCAGTCAACCGATTAGTGTTATCCAAACGTTCACAGCCAAGGTTCTAGCGTTTGAGTTCTTGACCCCAATGCAAGTTGATGTTCATAGAGGTCGTATGCATACGGCGGGTAGGATTAAAGAGTTGGTGGCGGTGTTGGATAAGGGGACGGGGAAGACGATGGGGAAGAAGAAGCCGAGGATTGTGAAGCCGGCGCAGGTGGCGAGGGTGCTGGTTGAGTTGGAGGTTCCGGTGCCGTTGGAGGCGCCTGGGAGAGTTATCTTGAGGTGTGATGGGGTGACGGTTGCGGCGGGGTTGTTGGAGTAGATGGGGAGATGGATGGATGATGGGTAGATGGATGGTGGGGGGGTGCGAGGAGGGGGAGGGGGAGAGGGGGAGAGGGAGGGAATAATAAACATATGGATTGAGAATTAGATTGGCTATATATGTCTCTTGTGGCGTGGGAGGGGGGATTAATAAACATCAATGTTTTCTATGTTTCTATGTAGAATCTTAGGCATGTCTACGATAATGAAAGAGAGAATTGAAATTTGAATTCTGTGTTCGCTATTGTGCACATGTGTGAAAGTACATAAATCATACATCTCTTCTCGTCCCACGATTCTCGTATCTATATTCCAAATCTCATAGTTGACAAATATACTCATTACTCACATCCATTGCTATATTATCTATTCCTTTATCTCATCTATATTCTACATTACAGGTAGGTAGGTAGGGTGGGTGGTTGGGTAAGGTTATCCAGGATTCACTATTTTTGACGACAGTCTAGGTAGTATATTCATGAATGACTTCGAGCCCTACACCCCACGTCTCCAAAATTAATTTCACGCATGTATACATGCATGCATGTTATAGATTCTATATTCTTGGGATATCGTTATATTGCATCGAATCGAATCGAATCAAATCAAATCAAGTCACACCTGGGCATAATGTTCATAATCATGATAATAATTCACCTAACGCGCTCTCTTCCTAAACAGGTAAATCTATTTTCCAACCACCATCACTCATAAGCGGATCCGCGATACTTTTCGCGAGATGCAGAAGCTGTTGATCGCAAAAAGGAGCTGCGATGATTGAGAGACCGATGGGCATTTTGTTGGGACCCACGAACGCGGGGATATTGAGGACGGGCGTGTGGATTGACTTTATGGGGTTGGAGAATGTGAGTGGGGGTTGTTGATTGGTTGGTATATGGGTAGAGGAGGAGGGGGCGGGGGGTACTTGGAGACGATAGGAGAATTAGAGGGAAGGGAAAATAAGTATACGCACCGACCAGAAAAAATTGAATACCGAACTCCCCATATCGTACAGACCGAGAGTTGCTTCGTCTGGGACGCTGGGGTGAGAATTGCGTCGTATTGGGTGAGAATGGGAGAAGTGAAGATTTTTCGGATGCGGGTGAAGTAGTCGAGAGCTTGGGAGTATTATTGTGAAGTGCAGGATGGTGTTTCGACGAGAGCGCGGATTTCGGGGTGGAGTTTTGATTTATCCATGTTGTATTCTTGGCGGAAGGATGATTGCGCTTCGGTTTCGTAGATGGTGTTAAAGTTTTGGGTGAGGATTTTGGGATTGGTGTATTCTGGGGGAAAAGGTACTTGGTCAACTTTGATACCGCGGTTGTGGAGAATGGTGAAGGTGGTATTCATAGCGTTGATGGTGCCGGGCCCGGCTTGATCCCACATTGGAGTTTGCATGAATGCTATTCGGGGTTCTCTTATGGGTATGATCTTGTGAGGATGTGTGTTTTTGAGGGAAAAGACATCAGCAAGTAGTTGGAGATCCTCGATAGAGCGAGCGAAGAACCCGAGTGTATCGAGAGAGATTGAACAGATTTTTTGGCCTTCGAGAGAAATCGCATTGCATGTTGGTTTCATGGCAAAAATACCGGTGTACGATGCTGGGCGGATAAGACTCCCGCTCGTTTGGGTCCCAATACTGAGAGGAACTTGGAAATCTGCGACTGCTGCTGCTGAGCCTGTAGATGTTCCGCCTGGAGTGCGGTTTACATCGTGGGGATTGGTAGTTTGGGGACCGCTGTTGAGCCAGGTGAGTTCTGATGTGGTGGTTTTACCTAGGGATGGAAATTATCTATCATAGAAGTATACAAAGTATGGCATTGTATGTGCAGCTGCACGAACCAAAAATGAGAGCTCCAGCATTCCGGAGAATGGAAACTGCGGATGAATCAAAACTGGGTTGATTTCCTTGGTACAATGAGCAACCGAACTTTGTAGGCATATCTACATGCATGTTAATTAATGGGAGCTTGGCAAAGGACTTTTGAACTACCCAACTTTGGTATTAATGAAATCTTTGATCGCAATCGCGAGACCGTGGAGTGGACCCCGTTGTGTGGGAAGAACTCTGTCTAGTGCTCGTGCTTGTCTGAGTATCTGTTGTGCGTCTGAGGTGGACAGAAATCAACATATTGGGACTTTGAATAGTATCTTTCCCTCTTCCGCATCCGCCTTTAACCAGGAGTCAACGATTGTAAGTTTTAAGCAAAGCAAAACTGACCTAGAGATGCCCATGCTTTTACAATATCATTCCTCTGGTCGATACGATGTAGAAGAGAACGCGCATGGTCCTCAACTGTGACAAGATCATCCTTGAGTAGAGAAAGAATTTGGGTAGCACTCAAAAGATACAACTCTGCTTGTCCTGGCATTCTGTATTGATGTTTGGATATTTGAGATGAAGCTGGTAAGTGAGGAAAACTGAGCATGGCTTGAATGGAATGAGAGTGGGTTATATCACGGGCTCTCGATTCAGCCAATTACGATCATTGAAAAAGGGAACTCACGTGAAAGGAGCATGGAAATGTCTTGTTGCATATCTGATTATCAGCAACCGACATGGATCAAATTGGCAACCAGCATGGATGTTAAATTTTGATGATACGATTGGCTAAGATGGCTAAACTAGCTATAATTCTCCTTGACAGGGCTAGCTTTATTATTAGGCGGCGCAATCATCGTACAATCCTTCAAAATATTAATCTTCTCTCCCTCCCCCTTTTGTTACATTCAACACAAAATATTCGACGGTGCCAATTTTTAGTGCATCTTCATTTGATAATAAAATGCATTATGGCTGATCATACATCGTCTGAACCTCCTCCACAGAAAGAAAAGAGGTCTCGGTCTAAATTCAAAAAATCTCGAGGTGCATGCCTCACTTGCAAGTATGTATCTTCCATTTACCGTCTTGCTCAACACCATACCCTTTTGTCTTCTTACTTGGAATATCATGATGAGCAACATTGGTCCGTGTTACTGAGCGGCCTCAAGAACCGCATCATGGCGACTACCAATTGCACTATGTGTACCTCTGATCTCTATTTTCCCCCACTTTCTGTTTTTGCAGTTGCAATCCTCGAAGCACCATTTCAAGGGACAGTCAGCTAACTCAAAGTTTAAGAATTCGACATATAAAATGTGACGAAGGTAAACCAAAATGCATAAAATGCAGCAGTACCGGTCGAATCTGCGAATATCACAATCCTCAAGATGAAGCTATTGTGCTTTCGCAAAACCACGCACAGAGTCGCGTCACCATTGTCCCAGGACTCGGTTCGACTCGCAGTAGTAAAGAACATCGATACTTTGATCAATTTCGTCATAGAACAATGTATGGACTGATGGGTGTTAATCAAGATTCCGAATTTTGGCGTCGGATGATATTGCAACTCAGTGAAGCTTATCCTGCAGTTCTTCATGCCGTGATCGCCATTTCGGCGTTGCATGAACACATATCTAGATCTTGTGCTGCCACCGAGCGAGTGTATCTTCAGCAATATAATAAATCGATTCGGCATATTCGTTCCCTTGAATCTGATAACAAAATACAAGTAACATTAGCATGTTGCATAATATTTGTCTGTTTGGAAAATGCACAAGGTAATCACGAAAGAGCACTGGAACATCTGGAGAATGGATTGCGGGTATACAATGTATGGGCACTACAAGATATTCGACCAGCTGTGAAACAAGCTCAAGAAAAGATTTTAGAAATAATTACTCGATTTGACGTTCAAGCGACTTCATTCTGGGATTCTCGCAAACCACTCTTAGTTCCCGATAGCAATTCCAAAGAGCCCGAATGCGGAGACCGATTCCCCAGTCTACACGCCGCAAGCATCGCACAGCAATTCTACGAACTCCGCATTTTTTATGTTCTCACAGCCGTTTCTCCAAAGACATCTCGTCACGAGCGGCCTGCTACTTTCGAAGCCATGTTTCCACATCGAACTAAACTTCTCCACTCCTTCAATATCGGAATGTTAAATTGGAAACGTGCTTTCGATGGCCTATGCCATGCGGACGCTCATAAGTGGAGCGCTTCTGAAATCCATCGAAGTCTTCTTCTCCAACTCCATTACCAATCCCTCTCTCTCGTCGTCGACCTTCGCGCAAATTCAAGAGTAGAAACAGATCTGTTACCTGCATCCGAAACCCAACGTTTTCAAGCTATTATCGACATTTCTCGCTCTGTGATCATGCATGCAACATCAATGTATAATGATAACTTCCTCACAGCAGATGGAGGAGTTATCGCTTCATTATACTTTATAGCTATGTCGGCTCCAAATCAACATTTATATGAACAGGCGATCGACCTCCTGAAAATGGTGAAGAAAAAAGAAGGATTTTGGCAAGCGTCGGCGGTACTAAAAGTTGCGGAAAAGGTGGCTGAAAGGAGGAGAGAAGGGACGGGGGACCATTTACATGGAGGGGTATTAGAATTAGCGAAGTTGGCGAACGTTAAATTTAGAACTGAGTTGTTTCTGGAGAATGAGGGGCTGGTGGAGGGAGAAGCAGGGTTGGCTTACAGGTTGGAGACGGACGGGGGATTCGAGAATAGCGCGTTGGCGGATTCCGGGCTTGCTCGGGAGATAGAAAAGGAGATTGGATTGCCGACGGTCAGTTGTGGAGAAATTCCATTCAGAGATGATGGACTTTGGGAAGCTCTCTTGTAGATTTTGTTGGTCTTAGGGAGGCAAATATAGACGGACCTTGTGGATGGGGCAATTGATGGAAGTGAGTCCGCAATGAGAGAATGTGATCTGCTTGCTCACTCTAGATAGATAATGTATATTTGATAATAAAATCTCTAGATCTACAAACATACTCTTTCCCTCTCCCTCTATTTCACGACTTAAAGTTCAACTCGCCCAAACTTGACTTGAAGTCAACTATTAAGTGGCACAATACGGTATCAGATTACAACATCAGGTTACAACATCAGGTTACAACATCAATATCAAGGTCAAGTCAAAATGATGGTGACGGTAAAGAAAAACACTGTAACACACACGCACACACACACACACAAAGTCAAAACAATAACCTATTTTAAATACTCAATTCTTTTTGTATGAATGACGCCCCCAATGGATTACAATGCATAGCTTTAAAGCTTTCTTTTATTTCACCTACATGTACCTTGCCTTTTAACTCAGGTCCATCCAACCGAACCAATCAAAGAAAAAATCATGGTAAAGTGCAGTATGTCAATTCCATGTCTAGACTTTTAACTAACTACAACTCATCGTGGCCCTCTGGCTCATCATCACCACCTGGTCCACCAGCTCCACTGTACAATTTGCTGGTGATTGGGTAGGCGACGTTGGAGAGTTTCTCCTTTTGTTCTTCAAAGTCCTCGGCGACTGCGGTGGCAGCGTTCTCCTCGAGCCATTCAGTGGCTTCCTTGACGGCATCCAAAATCTAGAGTTATCATTAGTATGAAATAAATTGCAAGTGAAATGATGAATAACTTACGGTCTCCTTGTCATCCTCGTCGATCTTGCCACCAAGACCCTCCTCGTCGTTGACTTGGTTCTTCAAGCTGAAAGCGTAGTTCTCAAGACCGTTACGGGCCTCAATGCGTTCCTTGGTAGCTTTGTCCTCATCGGCGTACTTCTCAGCTTCTTGAACCATACGGTCAATTTCTTCTTGAGTAAGACGTCCCTTGTCGTTGGTGATGGTGATGGACTCGGACTTTCCAGTACCCTTGTCACCAGCGGTAACTTTCAAGATTCCGTTGGCATCAAGCTCAAAGGAAACCTCAATTTGTGGGACACCACGTGGAGCTGGTGGGATACCAGTCAACTCGAATTTACCGAGGTTGTTGTTACTAATAATTTTGTTAATATCATGTTTTTTTCTGAAATCTGTAGATGAGCTAAAAACTTACTCCTTGGTCATGGTACGTTCTCCCTCATAGACTTGAATCAAAACAACTGGTTGGTTGTCGGCGGCAGTAGAGAAGATTTGAGATTTACGGGTTGGGATGACAGTGTTTCTTGGGATCAACTTGGTCATGACACCTCCAGTGGTCTCAATACCAAGGGTCAATGGGTTGACGTCCATGAGAACAATCTCCTCAGTACCTTCCTCTCCGGACAAGACACCACCTTGAACAGCGGCACCGAAAGCGACAGCCTCATCAGGGTTAATACCCTTGCTGGCCTTCTTACCTCCGAAGTACTCCTCAATGAGTTCTTGAACCTTTGGAATACGGGTAGAACCTCCGACCAAAACGATGTCATCAACTTCACCCTTCTTGACCTTAGCGTCCTTGAGGACTTGTTCAACAGGCTTAAGGGTCTTCTTGAAAAGATCCATGTTGAGCTCCTCGAACTTAGCTCTGGTGAGAGTCTCGGAGAAGTCGTTGCCATTGTGGAAAGCTTCAATTTCGATACGAGTGGTCTTTTGGGAAGACAAAGTACGCTTAGCCTTCTCAGCCTCACGCTTAAGTTTACCCATGGTCTTGAGGTCCTTGGTAATATCGACACTGTTCTCCTTGTTGTACTTCTTGGCGAAGTAGTTGATGACTCTTTGATCGAAATCTTCTCCTCCCAAGTGAGTGTCACCGGCAGTAGAAAGAACCTCGAAGACACCGTGATCAATGGAGAGAAGGGAAACATCGAAAGTTCCTCCACCAAGATCGTAGACGATAATTTGACGTTCACCTCCAGTCTTGTCCAAACCGTAAGCAATAGCTGCGGCGGTAGGTTCATTGACGATACGGAGGACGTTTAAGCCGGCAATGATACCAGCATCCTTAGTAGCTTGTCTTTGGTTGTCGTTGAAGTAGGCTGGAACAGTAACAACTGCGTGGGTAACAGTCTTTCCAAGATAAGATTCGGCGACTTCCTTCATCTTTCCGAGAATCATGGCGGAAACCTCCTCAGGAGTGAAGGTCTTCTTTGCTCCTTGGTATTCAACTTGTACGGAGGGCTTGCCATCCTTTTGGACAACGTCGAATGGGAAGTGCTTCATGTCACCTTGAACATCCTTGTCGTTAAACTTACGACCGATCATACGTCTGAAAAGGACACCTGTCAGTTTTGAATACTAGTGAATCAGATGCAATTGAGAACTTACTTAACATCGAAAACAGTGTTCTTTGGGTTGGCAGCAGCCTGGTTCTTGGCTGCATCTCCGACTAATCTTTCTTCATCGGTGAAGGCGACATATGAAGGTGTAATTCTGTGTCCTTGATCGTTTACCAAAATCTCAACTTTTCCCTTTTGCATCACACCGACGCAAGAGTAAGTAGTTCCGAGATCGATACCAATAACTAAATGGCAGAATTGTCAGTAAGAGATATTCTTTTGGGGGGGGGAAAAGTATTGCAAAAATTTACCTGTGCCATAAGATTCTTGCAGAGGGTCCTGATCGGACTGTGCATGTGCTGTTTGGAAGAGAGCGAGGGGAGAGAATAAGAGTACAAGGTAGAAAAGTGCAGACAACCCTACAAATAGGGAAGATCTGTTTCCACTGGCCATGATGATATGTTTACCAAGATGGTTTTTGGGAAAGATTGTGTGTTGTAAGAAAGAAATCTATTCTTGAATGTAGAAAGTAAGAAGGAAAAGGGCCACAGGTGGGAAGAAGTCGACTTTATGAAAGCTTTCTTGATGAAATGGAAATCTGTCCCAAATGAACTGTTGAATTTGATGATTGGTTCGGTTAGGTGATAGGCATGGAAAATAGTTAATCCGAGTCACTTATCGCAGATAATGGAAGAAGCTTGTAGAAAAGGACACACTTGCAGCTTCTAAAGAACAACTTTAAATAACCTCCGCAGGTAAGAATCATTTATTATTCATCATGCGACTCAATTGAGTGAATGAAATAGATGAATCTGGATTCGGAAGTGTATCAGCTGCGGCAAGGCATTGACATTGTGGAGATCTGTCTACTCCTAATCGTCAAGATCATTTTAGCTACCTAGGTTGTTGGGTGAGAGGAGGAAGAAGACACATATAAGGATGTATATAAATAATACATATATACATGCGAGGCGAGGGCACTTTACATCGGTGGTTGATGATACTTTTACAAAGGTAGTCAAGGACACTTCACATACTTATCTCACATTATCTGACATAATACGACCAACATACAAAGTTAGATTCTCAAAAGCATACCTAGTACATTTATATGACTACGTGTCATCAAAGGAAGGTTTTTGGGTAATATTTGCTTAGCAGTAGGTATCACTGGCCTCACTGGCCTTATATCAGTGCATGACATTACCATGACATTACTCAGTAAATTAGATCGAGGCTAAATCGATTGAATTCAGCTTACATCTCCTCTTGCTCAGGTGTATGAGACACCCATTAATCATCTATCATTAGTCGGTTTCAAGGGGCTATGAAGACAAGCAGTGCCATCTGGAATCTAGAAATTTCTACCAATGTCTAGAGTGGTCAATCATTCTACATCGTTGTGTCGTAGGATACAGATACGGTGGATAACTTTTTATAAGATATATAAGATATCACCCCTCACTATGACGCAAACCCCATATAATAAGGAAGAGCTGACCTACCCGTTCCGGTGACCCTTAGAATCTACAGACTGCGGTGTGCAGAGTAATAGCCTAGGTAACTTTTAGATTTTGAAGAACTCGGCTCTTGCACCTATGATAGCTGCCGGTAAAACTTACCTGACATGTGATCCGTTCACGTGCTTGAGCGCACGTGTCCAAGCGGTTCGTATCATAATGATTCGTGACACTCACGTGCTATTCAACTGATTAATGGCCACTGACGAACATCTCAATCTTCCTTTCTCACTCTGTAACAACCTATGTAGAGAACTCAAGCAACATCGTACATTGCCTACAAAGTGTTGTTGTTTCCACTTCTTTCCTCTTTTCTCCTCCTCATCGCCAAGATCCAATCTCACAAATGACACCTAGATCCCATCGGAAATCGTTCTATTCATTAATATGATGCATATAAATCTTAGACATGAAGTGTCAGCTCTATACCTACGTGATTGAGGTAAACATTGCGAAGATCTGAGCTATCAAAATTTCGGGTTACAAAATAGAAAATTTATGTAAGATCGGATCATAATTCTATTGCTTTGTTATATTTACTTTTTCACGCTTTCTTCATGTGCGGCGTGTAAGAGGAAAGATGTCAGCAACGGTGTATCTACAACGGTGGTAGTACAACCTTAATCGAAATCCCTGTTTAGACGTACCTGATACTCTAACATGTGTATGTAGCATTTTCATCCGGCTTCTTCTTCATGCTTATTTATTTCTTTAGTTTTTGCGACAGCGAGAAAAAGTAACTGGTCAAAATCCTCAAGCCTTTCCAGCTCCTCCAGCCCTCCAGCATTCAAGCCATGTGTCAGGCGTTGATACAACAGATCTACACAATGTGTAATCTGCACATAATATCATCATAATATGGCTTCGGTGGCTTTTTCCACTGCCCGATTTCCCTGTTTGGTTCCAGTCCCCTGCCTCAATCATGCTCTTCAACAGAACTAATTTTCTACGGAGTACCCTGAAATTAGCGAATGAGACAAAGTGGTCTATCCATTGCAGTAACTGTGTGGAGAAAATGGTGCAAGCAGCGAGGCGAAACGGTGTAGTTCCCCGTCAGTTTAGTATCCTTTTTGATGAAGATACGGGCAGGAGCTGGTCCAGACTTCTCACAAGGGTACTGCTTCTCCACTGATTTCCCCCCCTTTCCCCCCCCCACTGCCCCCCCCGTATTCTTCATCTGAAATGATATTGCTCTCGCCCGTGCACAAACTGCCTAACGCCGATAGAGTTAAAGAAGATTGTTTATGTCAATTGTACCCACTTCTATCGGGATTACCGTATGATTTGTGCAAAACTTATACCCGGCTCTTAGACCTGGTGGACTCTTTCTCTTATCGCATCTATTATTCACGTATGAAGCCGCTTCCGACTTACAACTTACGACTTACGACAAGCCTTTCCTTGTCGGTAGAGAAAAAGTTGTTTACTGATATGTAGAGGTTATATCATATATGAGCTCCACACCGCTAGTCATTTTGGAGTCAAATACGACTACTGCGTTTAGCTGCATTGATCAAAAAGAATCATCGAAAGATATACTCGGTGTCGACGTCTCTCGTCCGAAAGGTCGGCAAGGTCGGCCTTCATTTAGCAATATTTTAATTAATCAATTAGGAAATTAGATCCTTCCTTGCATAAATGATCACAAAAGCTCTCTGTCAGGGGCTTGGGCTTTCCTTACATGCGCTATGCTCCGCTTGGCGCTCGTGGGTCAAAAATCTTACTTTGAGTAAGGCTGGTTCTATTAGTGCTCTCTGTATATCGAATGATTTATTAGTCTGTGTAACCTGTCCGCGGCTGTTTTTGACAGAACCTAAATATTGACAGCAACTCATTAAACTCATATCGCTTCAATCGCTTCAATATAGGCTTGTGTTTCTCATCTCGTTGGATGAATCTCGGTCTTTCTGCCCTGCTCTCTGCCCTCGTTTATTCCGCTTACCCTGGTAAATTCATTAACGTTACACTCACTCGAAACCCCTCAGCGCTTAAACCAAACTCTGGGGAATTTCTAGGATCTCTATCACAAGAACACACTATTTTGCATGAAACAGAGACCAAACCAGTAAGTCTGACAACTAAGAATAAAATGAAATGATGCTAAATACATATCTTTACCTCACTCCGCCCGTTGGCAGTAGACTTCCGCCCTCTCTGCTAAACCCGGCCCCCAGTATGTAAGGATCCTTCTGCCACCTGTGGGCATGCGAATATTGAGCTGTAACAGATAAAATGAGCTTCCTAATATGTATAAGTGTGTAGTATCGTATGGTACTGTTCCATTTATGTTGGTGACTGGGGCATAACCAGCATTTTGATTTGGTTCCAAATGCTCGGGTCTGAAAATCATCACATGATAGTCATCTGCGTTGGAGGGTGTTCCCTGCCATCTCTTGTAAGCATCTTAATTCATTTTGGAAAGTCCAAGGAAGAAAACGAGGAAGTATTGGAAGAAAGAAAGCAATGGCAAGTGATTATGAGATCAAAGTATACATTACGAATACAAGAGAAAAGAATATACCGATTCGAACGCGCGGCAGAGAAGCGACGGTGCGGCACTCTGTTAAAGGGTTCACAAGAAGGACAATGTGGCGGCAAATTGTTTCTTCAATGAAGTAGAGGGGCGGTAAGTGCGGTGCGACTGTATGTCTGTGCTTTTGGATATCAATTTGCTAAACAAGTAGTAGAGTGACATGGGGAGAATGTGACCAATCTTTTATCATAATCCTTGGCTGATGCCCCAGCACTTAACAGGTTTCATTGGCTGTGGCTTTCATTAATTTCTTCAACGTATATATGCAAGATCCACTTCAACCTTTCAAGTAATGCGGGCTACATTTTCACATCATGATAAAAGAGGAGCATCGTTCGAGAATGGCTAGTTGCAGTCTAATACTTGCGTAGACAATACTACCTGACCTAGCATGACGACTCATCAGATGCAAGATACAAAGATAAAGCCCACCAATGGAAAAATATGCCTGAAAATCAGTACATATTCGCAAGGTTAAACTCAACGCCATACATAAATCAGTCTCAGGTAGCCAATAGTTCCCCGTATCACTTCTTCAAAAACCCAGAGCCACGGTACCTCGCTGCGATATTGCCAAAAGAAGTTTACCTCCGAATCTCTAAATTGCTTAGAAATAGTTGTCTCTAAACTACAAGAACAAAATGAGGAAAAATCAAACACACGACTGCGGTAGCCAGTCGATACACATAAATTATGATGCATGTCCTTGTTGGAGAAATTTGTCTCGCCGCTTGATGCCGACATAGCACTGTCTCAGCAAAGTTATCTGGCATTTCTTCTTTTTCCATACTTTAAATCAAGTTGGTGCTGTGTTGGGTTTCTCTCATAGGGCGTATATAAGGTTCTCTGGCCTTCATAGTTGTGGACATTTATCCAGACCCTGAATTTGCTTGTCACTATCTTCAAACACTTTGTCTTCTTGGACTTGTCCTCCTTCTTCTTCTTATCGACACACAAACATCTTGAGATTATTCAACATTTCCTTGAATACTTATTACAGCTAAAATGACTCTGAGAGTGGAGCCGTCATCTCAAAAAACCTCAACTGTTATGGGAATTACATCTGTTGTTAACAACCCTGAAGAAGTTGTAACTCAGAAAATGAACATTCTTATGCTTTTGAACCCTTCGGATTCCGAAGTAAGATCAGAAGAACACTCTGATAACGACATGCCTGATTCGAAAATGGATCTTGAAACTCAACACCACCAGCCTTCGACCTATGTACAGCAGGTATTCAACAGGCATTCTTCGGAATCTATATTCCAATATCAAGCTCGGCTCGAAAGAACCGAAGCTCAAAATCATGCTCGTCTCAATGCTACACGAAGTGGAAGAACACAACTTCCTCCGGCCCCTATTCATAGCCGTCCCTTGTCGTTCAATCCGATCAACGCCCACCATAGATTCACGAACCCGTATCCTTTACCCCCAATCTATTCCCTTCCCAGTGACAGATATCACTCCCAATCTCCAAGTCATTGTCACCATCATGATCGCCATCAGCTTTCCCATCGTCGTCATTCCCAACCGGTCTCTCGATCTGACAAGAAGAAGCCTCGCAGCAACAAGGCTTACTCGCTTGAAGAGGTCGATTTCATTCGGTACCACAAAGAAGACTTGAACAAGCACTGGCCCGAGGTTCTACTTTGCTTCAGAAAACGCTTCAGAGGATATCAAAGAGAGTCAGAGCAATGTCTTTCATCGAGATACTACAGGGATAACAACATCAAGATGTACGATGAGAGCGGCAGAGTAATGCGAGATGAGAATGGAAGAATCAGATATATCTCAGCCAAGGTTAGAAGAAGAGGAACGCCAGCGGGAAGATTAGAAGGAATACCATACACTCTTGTGCAAAAGCATCCAGAGAGAGCCATGAAATATTCTTGGGTCTCGGAACAGCACAGGAATGAAATGAGAATATTGGCAGAAGAGACGTCTGATCAAGAACGAGGTACGTGCTTTTACCTCCATATTCTATTGATTCCTGTATGTGTATAGCTCGACAGACAACTAATAACTATGACAGAACAATTCAACTCACTGAGAGCACAACAGTTGAGAAAGGATGAGCAAGAACGAGGCGCGGTTGACACCACATCAGAATCTATAGATGAGTCCATGGATGAATTCAGCGGCTATGAAGACTCGCCTACACCATCCATTGCTCAATCTTCCCCTCGATCTTCCCCTTGAGCTGTTTTCTCGTTCAATCATCTGTTTTATATAAGCCTCTGGGGGATTTAAAAGCTAGTGGTGTGTTCTCGAAAAGGGTTTTTGGTTTTTGGGTTATCTACTTATTACGATGTTGGATCTTGTTTTGTTTTGTCATTATTCATTATGTTTGGAACTTTGGTATATTGGTATGCTTCACTGCGTGTTTAAAGTTGGAAATGTTGATTGATTCCCGTACACATTATGGTATAATGCTAGATTTATGCTAGTTGGTACAAAATTATGACAAGGAGATGACTTTAATGATTAGAAACAGGCTTTCTTCACACGCTTTCTTCTCCATAATTGTGGTTACTATTAGTGCACAAAATGATATTGTGTTTTTGGCCACAATAAAATGATGGAATCTGGGCAGTGAGATAGTCGGAGTGGATTCAGTCATGATTCCTGTGTATTGTTTGCCATGGATCCAACAATGCAAAATTTACAGTCCCCAAGCAGTTTTGAATATTCGATAGCAATGTGATTTCATCCTCTGCACAATGTTGCACAAAACACTTCGGCATCTTTCTTCCATGGCTATGAAATTGCATGATCCACATCACATCTCATCATGCAGAAATAACGGCTCAAACTTTATCGCCGCCAATAGTAACAATATCAGTACGCTAATCTGCCTGGCAAGTTCGAACTTCATGCTCATAAAGATTGACCACCGTAGACCTTCTAACATAGACCGGAGTTTCTAGTCCACCAATCTGAAAGTCAGCGATGACATGTAAATTGGTTCAAAGTTACAGAAATCTGTTCAATACCCTGCAAGAACCCTGGGCTCATCTCGCGTTGGATCCTGTTTTGTGAACTTGCTAAAAATCTGTCGACTCTTCCCTAAGTCCGTGGACCCGGGAAACTGGTACAAGATTTGGAATTCATTGTAGTAATCAAACCAACAAGCGTGTCACCCTAATCTACTTCCGAGACCCCGGTCTTCGAGAAGATCAGGTTTAATCAGAACAGATTCATCAACTCCTTATTTTTGTTGTCTTTAGACGATCCGAATTGGTTTAGTTGCACATCAACATGTAACGTTTATCCCCAGATTAAATTCCTTTAGCATCTTTCAGTCCAAGCTTCCGGACCGAAGGTTGGACGCTTCCCGGATAAGCACTCAACTTGAAGACAATTTAACATTCTTTTTACCAGGATGGCTGACAGTCAATGTAGCTAGCTCCTTCTCTTCCCAAATTTAAGCTAATTCACCACTTTCACAAAGTCAAGTTACACATGAAAATCACACAAACTAACTTTGATCCAATAAGGAAGGTAGCTGGAACCGCCGAATTCATATCAACCTGAAAATTGGCGCTTTTACTTTCCATACAGAGACATATACGAGCCTCCTGAATATTCTACCAAGACTTTAACCAACATAATTCCAACTCCATCTGCAAGCTCATTCGCCTTATGAAAACGGCATGAATTCACGCTTGAAAGTAGACCCGCTCTTTTAATAAACGACCATTGAACAAACCCACCTAATCTGTCAGAATTCCCGAATACATCATATCTAGTCACCGAGTTGATTACCTCAATTGTTTACCATAAACAATCATAATCACTCGTCCCTATTCATTTTAACCAACAATTCCATGTCCATGTCTTAGAAGCGCCGCAATAAGCATTTTTCCTCCAAACTTTGCAAGTCCCGGAAAATCTTACTGCATGGTCGACACACCCAAGAATGCAAATGCCGTGCCTCAAGCTTCATAGTAGCACTACCATGTAATCCCACCTCAGCCTTCAAACGGTGAGTAAAGAATAGAAAATGCAATTGCGAGGCGGGCTGTGCATTTCGAGCAGCAAACACTTGCACAGACCTTTCGTGATCCGTTCCGTCGGGACTTACATCAGCACCATTACCACACTAAACTGTGCAATGCAACATTGCCCTTTTATCTCATCTCTCTTGGGCACACTCAGATTAGTATCGGATATCGGGTAAATATATCTGCAAATGCAAGAGTGTCACTTCTTGTTAAAATGCAATGTCCAACAGACAAGCTTTCAATGTCCCGATCAGAATATACATCAGTTCAGTTGGTTATTTGTGATTGGGCATGAATAGGGGCTAGTAGTAGTGCTGATGCAAACTTACCTTGTTCAAATATGCGTCTAAGCGAATGGTAGGGGGTCTCCGTGGCAGCGCAGCTGTTGTTGCTTCTCATGAAGTGTATGAACATGGGTATGGATGGCCCGCGTGAAGCTGATATTGTGATATTGTATTTTTGGCGGGGCTTTGTTTTGGGTTTAGGATTATCATTTGGAGAGAAATGGTGGGAGCTGGGAGAGCAGCAGCGAATTATGAACGATCACACGTCTCGAACGTTCTCTCCCTTTGTCCTCGGCCCATCTCGGGGATTCGGGGAAGTGAGATGAATGGTTCAAGAGCATTGACCCTTGGAATAGAGGATTAGACAAGTCGGTATTGATGCCCGGCTCAATTAATTGTCTTCAAGCGAGTTTCTTCGTTTGGAAATTTGAGTGATTCGATGCATATCATTACCAGGGATATTTAGTTCCAGAAGAAGTTGGCCGTTGTCGTTTACCCCAAGAAGGTATCTAATACCCCTTTCTTCTACATGCTGTATCTGCCGAATCTTTGAATATAACCGCGCTAAGAAGGATTTTAATGACCTTGTACAACCTAGCAAGCCCAAATCTTCATGTAGAATTTTCTAGACGCCCAGAAGAATACATCCATGCCAGACGACGACAAGATTTCACAGTCGCCGAATTCGCCGCCGAATACCAACCTGTCGGAATTTGACCGCCAAGCTCGGCTCGGCCACTCCGCTCTCCTCATAGTGACACAAATTCGCGCCAGATCTCCGACGAAAGCCCATTGTAGGCTAATTTTACATCCACTGGCTGAATCAATTCATGCGGCGCAGATTACTCGACAATATCATGCCAACATTCGCTATCAGCGGCTTTGAGAGCCGGCGCAGTAGGCGCACAAATATTCGAGGGTTGGAGATGCAACAGTTGTAAGTTTTTGGCATGCAGTAGGCACAGTGCGTTATCTTCGATCATATTTTATGCCTGCAGTCTTGGATAGCACTTGTCTCACATAGAAACTTGTACAATCAGGATGTGAAGTTGGTGATCTGGATGCGCAGCCGAGTAATTGCGGCCAAGGCCATTATCCTAGATGAGTTGGGATGTCGAGAAAGATCACATCCGCAGTTGTGAATGGGAAATAAGGAAAATATGATCATTGAGTGGGAACACTAATCCCGAGGGTTTGTGTTTGCCGTGGGGGTGGTGATCAGTGATCACCTGCGGTGAGAAGACGATAATTTCGCTGGCAAAAATTCATGACGATCAACCAAGGTGTTTGTGTCACCTTGACTGTGATTAATGTCTCCGAGGAGTTAGATATCACACCATATGTGATTTTGGTGCATGTCTTGATGGCCCAGTTCATATCGACATGTGTGACCTGAGCGTTCTACCCCTCATATGGTATTTGGTTTTTGGGGGTCCGCAATCCACCACCATCCAGTGCCTTCACGTACTTGTGCAAGAGTTTTCGAGTCTCATTGGATTCGTATATTTCCCTTCATGAAAGTGATAGGATATAGCAATGATGTATGTCACTGTGAAGCCTGTACTCCCACAAAAATCAAAAGCCACAAAAAATAAAGGGAAAAAACTGTGTTGGATGCCTGTTTTGAAACTGCCGGAGTATCATCTGATCGAGGCGGGTCATCACTTGGGAGTGCATTGTCTGTTGGAATCTCAAGAATTGTTGTTCTTGTTGGATTTCATTTGCCACGAAATTACATTAGTTAGAGTACAATTCAAGTGCGAAGATGTGAATTTGGGCGAGGTCGTGGATGCCATCAAGATGAGTCTGCCTCTGATTATCATCTAGATACCCTACACACTTACATCGATTCCCCGCGATCTCAGCTAACTAAAGTCATACTAATCATTAGAATCATTTTTGTCCTTCATCAAACGCAAAAAAAAGCAGTTAGCTGTTGGGTTCGGCTCAGGTCCTTAGATGATTCTTCCGCAGTCTCTCTCAAGACACTTCAACATTACAAGCCAGTCTCATCCACAGAACCGCTCAAATTTCTCAACGATCAATTCTGATGGTGAAGACTTTAGATATTATACCTAGTTCAAGGTAATTTTTACGCCATGTTTTGATGGTTCTCCTCACGCATACAATGGCACTCCGTCGTGCAGAAGGAAACATCCCGATTATTGTCGAGTCGACGCCGCTCCATACAGAATATAAGAGGATTACACATACAAGAAAACAGTGAAATTCTAATCTGGGTCAAGTAATAAGATGTCAAGCTTCTAGGGAGACGGAGGTTTCCTCGTCAACTTCAATTAGACGTACCCCGCATCACTTCGACTTTGAATCTTTCACAGCTCTGCGACATGCTAGAATGAATGTAAAACCATCTTTTGACAAGGTCGCACAGAGTCTTTAGGTATAATGCCATTAATTGTGAATACCACCGATATTTTTCACCACTGCATGTGGTCCACAGAGAAGTGCCCGTCGTCATTCGGTAGCAGAATTTAAGCTTCATGACACCTAGCCTAAGTAGTTTCAGCGTCTTAACTCGTGAATGTACTGTGATAAAAGCGTTTCTAATCCTCAAATAAATCATTATCGTGCTAAGTTATTCGCCATTCGTTATTCTGGCATCCTCAACTAAAACTGCACAGGGGCGGCACACCAGACTTCAACACGGCTAGCTTAACCCACTCATCGCCTTGTGCATTGTTAGATCAAAAAATTTCAAGATATCTGAATACAAATCACTATTCAACTAAGGCTTTGTTGGCAGACTTCCTCTTGCTCGTTTATTGTGGCAGTGTTCCGAGATGACATGGCTTGACTTTTGTCCTTGACAAACTTCACTTTCTTATGTGGCAAAGCTACTTGAGTATATTACCCCATTCAAAATCACTTAACACTTCAACGTATCTCATAGTCTTTAAATAATAATGCTAAAATAAACCTACTAAAACTGACAAAAAAAGAATGTAACCTATCACTACACTATCGCAAAGAGCCTCCCGAAAGTAATCCTAAATTGCCCATCCGTTAACCCTTAACCCTTAATACTTAGGCTCATCAACCTCAACTCTTCTGCAACAGCGGCTGTAATTACAGAAGCCTCCTCCAACCACGCAATCTTCTTCTCAACCAGTGCACCAAATCGAGCTCTTGACCACTCACTCGATCCATAAACCATCAAGATATCTAAATTAGCAAGCTTTGCCACCCGGACTTTCATATCAAAAACATTCGTCGTCGCCTCTCTAATCCAATTTGCTCCCTCCTCTGTCTTAAAGAATTTATGCCAAAGAGGTCTATTATCACCTTCCTCATGAGTCAAAACTCTACCTCTAAGAAGATCCTCGAGAACTGCCTTGCATTGCACAACTTTCTCCTCGCATGTACCCATAATTGTTACCTCCATGAGCTTCTCGCCAGAATAATCAGCACGGTACGAATCGCCCCAATGAAGTTGGCAAGAATTCTGTCTGAAGATTTGATGAAGGTTTCCTTGGTTCTGGCGACCGAGTGAATCGATGATGTATCGAGGTATCATGTACTGCAATGCGATTTGATGGCTAACTGTTACATGAATGCTCATGCTTGCACCAACCGCGGTGATCAAATGTCCATTGATTGCGGCAGCCGCAGCAGCAGCTTCGTGGCGGTGTCGAAATGTGATCTGAAGGGAATGCCACGAACCCATGTTGCGATGAATGGGCTGGTATGGGGAAAGCTCTCCCCAGGTTGATGCGAGATGAATGAGAGTGTTGATCATGTCGTTGGCCGGCACATTCCATTCTTGGGGCCATGAAAATAGGATTTCAGTGTGACTATATTCAAAATGATACGTTAGTATAGAGTAGATAAGAGTGTGAATGGGATCCACGTACCCAGCTTGACGATCGTAAATGCCAGGTCCTGACAACTCAAGATTGGAGGGTTCTAATGTGGCCGACCAGTCTACAACTACACGGGACAGGTTGTCCGTAGCTGATTGATGGTCTTTAGACACACGCTCCATTACAGAAATTTGTTTTTCCTCCATGAGTGCTACTGTGGTCGTCTGGTTGGATGATTTGTTTGCCGATAAAACTGGATCTGTAGATTGAACCACAGATGCTTGTTCAGAATCGACAGGAGATTCGATCGGTACTGTGTAGGATGAAGCAATCAATGTCTCCGCAGGAATCGTGGGTAGCATGGTATTGTTCATACCATTGATAGGTGTTTCATCAACCGACTGGTCAAATGGAACTGACTTGACTGGAGTAGACGAGTCATCTGGAACAGTAGACATTGAGGTGTCAAGCGCATCATCAATGGGTGATGGGCTTTGAGTCGCAGATCGGACTGAATCGGAACTATCGCTCATTGGTGTGATATCGCTTGAAAACACATAGCCAATATCATCTGCACTGCCAATGCTGGTAGAAGCAGGTGTGAGCACCTGGAACGATGGAGTTTCGGGAGTAGAATCAGAACTCTCTGATGGAGTTGTAATTCTACCACCTGGCTGATCGTTGGAGGAATCAGTGTTGGTAGCACCAGTATCACTTGTACCGTTTGAAAAGGATCTGAGCTCAGTGGGCGATAGATCAATTTCATAAGAACCTGGATCAATTGATAGAGCAGGAATCTTGCCAGCAGGCTTTTCATGAGCAGAATCCATATCGACGGCAGCTGCAGTGCTTGGAACAGCTGGGGTGTTCATGGTTGCTTGAGCTTGCATAAGGACTGGAGCAGAATTAGAAATCTTTGATGCAACGGTCGTTGTATTGACAGGCTCGTTCTCGGACAATTCAGCGTTGGTAGCCGTCGTGGTCTTTGAAGCCATTGACATAGTCGTAGTAGATTCCGCAAGTGGAAGAGTTGGCATTACTCCAAACTCCTTTGGTGATGCCAGCATGGTCATCTCACCAGCAGGCTTATCCTCAGATAATTGGACTTCGGTAGAACCTTCATCCTTTGAAACATTTGGTGTAGTGGGGGTGACTTTATACTTCTGTGGACGAACTCGAGCAGAGCGAAAGTTCATCAAAGGAGCAACTGTTGTATTGGCAGGCTTTGCCTTGGGCGACTTGATAGTGTCAATTTTTGTGGTCTGCAAATTCTCCGTTGTAGCCACAGTGGATTGAGAATGTTGAAGAGCTGAAGTAGCACTAGTAGCTACCTTATCTGTTGGAGCGGGATGGTAACTAATACAGTTCGATCCGTATCTACATCCACGTCTTGAAAGAAAGTTCTTGCAGGCAGGACGACTAGGCTCGGGGCTCTCTGCAGGAACGGGAGCTGGGTGTCCGAATTGACACTTCAATCCCCACTTGCATTTACCATAGAAGATGAAGTTCTTACAAGGGAAAGGCTGATAAGGACCTATATGCTTGTTGTGGCATTGGTCTCCAGCTATACAGCGGCCGATGGGATAGTGTACACAGATACCCATTTTCTCGTTTTTTTGATGGTTTAATAAAGTATCGTTGGATTTTGGTTTTGATAGTCGGAAGATGTGGGTTTCTGGGTACTTGTGAAAGCTTGAAAGCTTGATGAAAGTTTAGATTGTTATTTGTATTTTGTTTGAATTTGGACAATTTGTAAAAGTGCTTCAAAGTCAACTGTTAAAAGCTTGTGTTTTAAGAGAGGTTGTGATCTGCTGGGTTGGAAGTTCCTTTTATAATAACTTTCCAAAGTTCAGACCGTACTAAGGCTGATCGAAAACGATGCTAGCTGTGCACTGCAGATAGCCAGATACATTAACAGATGCAGTACAGTAATGATTAAGTACAGTAGCTGATCCAGTAAGGCAAATGATTGAGTACAGTGATGTAGTAGATCAATCACAGTAAGGCAGTCCAAAATGCTATAAACACTTCTCGCTGCAGAAATCTTGCAAGATATGTGGTATTGGTAAGATTGAGAACAGGACATGAATTACCTAGGTGTTTATCACATACGTCTCTGTTTGTCAACAGGGGGAAACAAGATGAACACAACTTCAGACTCCCGAGGTCATCTCAAAAAGTTGTATCCGCTTCAGTTGTTGGTTGCAAACTGGTGAATCAGATGTTAAAATTGATACTTCTGAGAATTTGCTATTGCTTCGAAAGTGGAGGTAGAGAGACAAATCACTGCCAGTTTGCAGGTGATAGTATTCCACTTGATACTGTTGATAGCATGTTGTCCTTTCAGTATCATCTGAGATGCTAATGTCTCTGAAAAAAAGAAAGGAAAAACGAAAGAGAAAAGGGAATCAAAAGAATTGAGAAGCTCAATCAGAAGAAGATGTATAAGACCGATCTAACAAACGAAATATTTGAATGGCTGAGAAAACTCACTCTCTGCTATGCGCGATGTTTCTTTTGATTTCTTAATTCGGTCTGAAAACTTCATTGACAACCTAAACTTTGGAGAATGAAACTGAAATAGATAAAAAACAAGACGATGAAGAAAACTTTGATTGCTGTTCTCTTCACATGTTCGCCCAGCTTCAGCCCAACCAATTTTAAATATGAAGGAATCAGGCCCGTCTTCAGGACTGTGATACTTTTGATTAAGCTTATCACCTGCGATGCCACTCTTAATTGGCCAATGCTGTCTTTGACAGAGCTAATATATGTATCGGAGCTTCTTCGTCTGTATTTGCTGAATACAGGTGAAATTGATGAAAGCTCTGCCTTTCACCTTGATAGACTTCAAGTCAGTCCTTTGCTCTCCAAACGCTTCTTGGCACACAAGGGATTAACATGATTAAGTGACCACAGCAGAAACTCAACCGTAGCATCTCAAAAGCCGCGATAATATAGACTTTATATTTTCACAAATGTCGAAGGAGTGATGTTAGGCATCTTGTATTATTAACAGAATAGTTTCAATTATTGTATGTACAAGCTGACCAATCAGATGAATGACAAGGGTGAGCTAGCAATCGCGTAAGCTCTAGCACTTTTAGAGCCTTAGTTCGGTGCAGCTTACATCTTCACATGCCTGTGGCTCCTATGATCGCCAATTTTATACGATGTCTAGATAAGCTTCAATAGGAAGGGAAAAGAGTGTATCTCTCTACCCGAATTAAGCTGGCCATTGGTGATGCCTCCCTGATTAATGCTAACATGGTATTGGCCTGAATTTGAATCCTGGGAACCACATTATATATTGCCAGCATTCGGATAGATAGCATCCTTGAATCAGCAAAACTCAAGCTAAGATAAACGTATTACGAGATTTGGCGCGCTTCGAAAGCTGTTCATAACGACTAATCATGACATCATTTCCAGACAGCATTTCCTCGTCAAAAGACACAAGTCTTATAGCGACTACTTCAGACCCTATCTCTGATGAGAACAACGAAAGCAAAAAAAACATGACGACTCCAGATCACGAATCCCATCATGAAGTTGCGTCGCGCTCTGTAGATGTCAGCACAACCGATAGAGCTTCTCTCGGCACTCCTCCGGAAGTTGTGGCTCATGACTCCAATCACATAACCAATGGGCAGAATGAAGATGTGCCTAGTGAATGGCTTACCGGTAACAAATTGATCGCGGTATCAATTGCTTTTGGAATAGCGGATATTATGGTTGCATTAGACAGCAGCATTTTAGGTACCATCCGACTATCCACTCTACACTTTTCACCTACGAAAAACAACCTGACAATCACGCTTCTGCTATAGCTACTGCATTACTCACCATATCATCTGAATTCAAGGCAGTCAGTGATATTGGATGGTACGGTAGTGCCTATCTTTTGGCACAGACATCATGCCAACCCGTATTTGGGAAGATCTATACTTGCTTCGAGCCCAAGGCAACCTATCTTACTAGCCTTCTTGTTTTCTGTATTGGCTCGATTCTTTGTGCTGCAGCTCCTGTCTCTTCGTGCTTGCTTCTTGGTCGAGCAGTGACTGGGCTTGCTGCAGCTGGAATTCTCACGGGAAGTTTGTAAGTCACTACTCCAGGTTTCTCTCGGATCAAAAATTTGAATCGATGCAAGGACATCGCGCGGTTCTGTATTGACATTTTTTCATAACAATGACCAAGGTGTTGACGCCCCAGCTTTAAGCACTGCTGTTTCTGACCTCATTTTTCGCAGAGCCATTTTTGGCCGTGTGGTCCCCCTGAGATTTAGGCCGCAAGGAATGGCAATCATGGTTAGCATTAGTAGCATTGTATCAATGATAGGCAGCACCGTCGGTGGTATTCTTACAGATTCGGTCCTGACCTGGAGGTTTTCCTTCTGGTTAAACTTACGTATGCTATGCTGCCCTTTAATATCATCAATCAACTGACTGAAAAATTAGCGCTTGGACTTGCCTGTAGTCTCGTTGTCTTTTACATCCTAGATCGCAAGCCTCACCCTGATCATCAGTTACCCATTTCCACGAAGCTATTGAAGCTGGATCCTCTTAGCTTTATTTTGCTACTATCAAGTATGACCTGCCTTTTTGTGGCTGTTGAATTCGGTGGCGTATCCGTCTCATGGTCGAATTCAAAAGCTTGGGGATCTGTACTAGGATTTGGACTTCTTGGGATTTCTTTCATCATTCTTCAGCGACACCAAAAAGAAAAGTGAGAATCTTGATACTCTGCTCTACCTTGCAGGACCAGTATATTAACAGATCAAAGGGCCGTAGTTAATCTTCAAATGATCCGACAGCGAACAGTCGCTATCTGCTATATGTTCTCATTCGCATACGGTCTCGCCATCACTACCCATACTTGATTATTACCAACCTATTTCCAAGGTGTAAAGTATTTCTCGGCTTCTATATCTGGGGTCCTAGGTTTATCGCTCTCCATACCCATGACAATTTTCAGTTTGGTAACTGGCTTCTCAACAACGCGGTGTGGCCATTACGTGCCATTCATGTGGGCGGGAGCATTAATATATGTAGCCGGAAGTGCGCTTCTATATCTGCTGACAACAGATAGTGGTATGGGGTTTTACATCGGCTATTCAGTAATCGCCAGAATAGGATGCGGAATGGCAATTCAAGTCACTTTTATCGCAGTACAAGTAGTTGTTTCGCCTTCTGAAATTGCGCACGCTTGCAGCATGGAGGTTTTATTTCGTCAGCTTGGAAGCGCTATAGCTATCAGTGTTGCTGAGAACATCTTCCTATCATCAACACAAGGCCGACTTCAACAGCTTCTTCCACAGAGTAACGATCCAATCCTCAAAAGCGGCATTCGCGAGTTTGCTATGCTGAGCCAGACACTTCCTCCAGCAGAGCAACAGGAGGCCAAGAGTCTCATTAGTTACGGCGTTAAGCAGGCTTTCATACTACCCTTGACTGCTAGTTGCGTAGCCGCTGTTGCAAGCTGGGGAATGGAACGAATCAAGATTGAAGACGAAAACGAGAGAGCAATAGCCCAAAACATTGAATTGACTTGATGACCCGCGCAAGGTAGGGCTTGTTGACAAGGTATGCCTGATATTCTCATGTCTGCGTCACCACTTGGAATATGAGTAGCACCTGAGAAGGTCGCAAAAGTAGCCAGTGCCGATATCTGAATCGACGCTGGTACATTGGTCACTGAACGCAACTGAGTTAGATTCAAAAAAGTAGTAACACGCATATCATCTAAAACCTCTACCTACACCTCAAGATGCACTGTCCGCACCACAAGCGTGTGTAAGAGCCCGAGCAATGTGATAGAAACAACTCTAGTAACCGCTCTTACACGAACTATTTCCATCCACGACGTTCTAGACGAATCAAATAAATCCGGCAATATCTGATAGATCTGAAATCAACTAACCTATATTCAAAGACACAACCATAACCCAACTTGACATAAATAAGATCATCGGATATCGCATTGTATTGCAACCAATAAAAATAAAAATCAAAGCCCACTAGGACTCTCTCGTACTCCTTACATCATTATCACACGCCTATCTATCGCGCTGTATGAATATACGTTGCACAAGGCCATTCCCCAGTTCAATTCGATATTCAACCGACTGATCGTAAATTCTTGGATTAATCATCTTCTCTATTGGACTACGCCCTTTAACTCTCTATTTTCACCCACCCACCAACCTACCCTACTTGTCCCTTATTTCCTCCAGTCCACACGCATCAAATTCAACCTCAGCTCAACTCGATAAACGCCGCTCGTTAACATATGTAAAGTTAGAGGTATCTGAACATTTGCGCACATCCTGCTGGATATCATAGCATATCAAATCATACAATACAATCTCACTTCCCCCTTTCCACCATTCAACACATTTTCGTTCCCTTTTCTATCTCCGAAGATTTCGTCAAAAAATATTAGTCGCTACCTCTGTACCTCACCACCAATCCACATCCCTTTCAAGCCAAACTCAATCTCTCCAATCTTCCCTTCGTAGCCTCCACCAAAGCCGTCTCGCGATCCAACAACTTCATTATCTGTCCCACCTTCTTCCTCCTCAATTCAGAGGGAACCTGTACATCCCTTGCTGAGTCTCCATCCCTCTCCTCTTGTTGCTCCTCATCTCTCTCCCTCTCCGCATCCTTCACCAATTCATTCGCCTGACTCAAAACCTCATCCTTTAGTTCCTTCACCTCTTCATACCTCTGCCAAGGATCCTTCGAGACCTTCACCATACTCTCCGTTGATCCGTCCATATCTTCACCCAGTACCTTTCCACCAAGACTCCTCACCTCTTCTATCCACGCTTTCTCCTTATCACTCAGTTCTCTCTGCGTATTTTTAGGAATCTTCTTCCTAATATTTTCAATTCTCTCGTTCAAAATCTTCTGTTTGTCCTTTGCTTCCTTGATTCTTCGTTCCATGTTTTCATTTGGTGGCACTCGAGGTTTATCATCATCTTCATCTACATCCTCGCCAATGACAGATTCCACACGTGTTGCAATTTCGTTAGCATGTTTGATATGTTTTGAAAGCTCAATCTGAAGTTTGATACATTTTCTGAACAGTTCTGCGGCTGCGGTACCAATGCGATGGGTTTCTTCACTGAGAACTTTATGGGCGTCGGTCATGACCGTAAGTGTAGCTGGTGATAATCGGATCTCTTCCTTCAACAAACGCTTGTATTTGCTATGCTTTATTTTTTCGTGAAGAGAGGGTAATTCGGATGGTTGTTCCAAAGCATAAGATGGTTGGTACACAGGCCGAGCTTCGAATAAGACGAGAGGTTTATCATTATCGGTTTCGGAGTCGTATGATTCTGAGCGACCACGGCTACGGTTAAAATCCAATTGAAATTCAGGCGATTCAAAGTTGATAGATAATGGGCCATGAGCATTTGCGGAGAGAAGGAAATAGCCAAGATCGGGATCTTGAATAATTGTGCTGGCAGCCAGAGGGGCATTCTTGTCGATCATGGGTGGCGTATAGACCCTCTGCCTTTCTGATGGGGTGCTAACAACTACACCAAGTCGGACATTAGACTCTGCGCCTTTGGATAATTCTTCCTCGAGCTTGAATACCCATGTAGAGAGTGACATATATGTGATGTTCGAATTGTTGGTAATGAAGAACGAATATCTTGATTCGACATCATGACTAAAAACTGGCCAACATCCTTCCCAAACCTCATTGGGTTTGGAAGTATCCAAAACTTCATAAGTCAGCAAGACAGGTGGGTCCGGGTCGTCCAGAAATCGTAATATCCTTGAATTCGATCTCGGTAACCATTGAGCTTCGATTCCAACCAAGTCCAGGCAGATTGAAATACGCCCAGTAGTTGTAAGCAAACAAATCACGCTCATAGAACATCCCTCTTTGTCGATCTCATCTAACTCAAGCTCATCGTCCTCCTCTCCATCCATGAGCTCTTCGGCATTCAGCTTTGGTCCAATGACATAAATGTCACTGAATAGTTCATCGTCCTCGTCATCCTCAACCTCGGGGGCCATCTCAAAATCGAATGGACCTTGTAATCTTGGTACTTTTCCAGGTCTAGAAGGTCTTGTGTAAACCTCAATTGGCGGCTCACCCAATGATCCCTGAACCTGGCTTGGATCTTGATTGTCGATATCCGTCATCCAATCTAATTGTTGTTGCGCCAGGAGTTTGCTACCTTGAGTTACAGTTGGATCATCTTCAATAGCGGCGATATTGGACACAATCGATATCGAAAGGGAAGGAATCAGCGTGGGTGGTGGCGCCCATTTTTCGGGCAATAAGGGGCAAAGAGCATATACATCTCCTTCCCTCATTGCAAGCCAAAGAGTCATAGGTGACCAACCTCCAGATCCTCTACCTGCAAAACAAGCCGATGCTACCTCCATCTCAAAAGCATCCGGAGAAAATTTACTTGGTTGACCAGCCACGGAAGCTCCAAAATCTTGATCAGCCGAAACTCCATCCGCCAATTTTTTCAGATCGACCACAAGAGTTGGTTTGTCGAAAGACCAACGATCGGTTGTAGACAATTCCCATACTCGAACAACGGCATCTTTTGTAATTGTGACCAAACATGTTCCATTAACGCCCAATGGATGCCACAGCGCAGTTGATATTCCAGATCGTGATGTAACATGTGTAGTTGGACCCAAGTGAAAAGTCTTAATCTTCATAGGACCATTGTCGGGGGCTGTAAGATGCGAGGTTTCAGGTAAGATTGCGACATGTACGGTATGAGTTGTCAAGATCGCCATGAAATTCGAATTGGGAGAGATAATCAACTGTCGAATTTCATCTGCCACAGGAATTTTGAGTGTCTGCAGAACATTAGCACCCAAATACAATGACAAAAGCTTCAGAACTTACTCTATACTCCCGAGCAACATTCTCTTCAGCCTCAATTTCCTCTTCGGCTCGTGATTTGCCTTTCAAGAAGCTTCTTTGGTTCTCTTGTTTGTTTTCCCATGTTTCCTTCAAGTAAACAAGATCCGCCCATCGAATTTCCTTTCCAACAGCAATGAATATCTCAGTCCCCCTACGCGCAATCGTTCTCTTCGGTCCTGGTTTATTCGTTTTCTTCTCATTCGGATTATAACTAGCTCCAGAAGCTGTTTGGATGCCCGTCGGTTTCGCTGTAAATATCTCATGGCCTGGATTTGGCTTTGAAAGCCATGTAGGTGTGTAACCAAGAACTTGAGGCATTTTTCAGACCCTGCGCTCGATGTTATTATTTTAAATAATCAGCACATTCGTAGAAGCTCGATATTGGAAAGCAACTTGTATGTTACGGCGAAGAGAAGTGAATTGAGTCTGGAACTTTTTTTGAGGTTGAATGGGTTTAATATCAGGCTATGCTAGCGCGTCGCGAAAGCTTGGTGCATGCGGGTAGGTAATTGGAAGCCTTCTGTGTTGTAAATGTTCCCCAGGAAACAAAGAAATCCATCAGCCTTGTAGAAAATTGGATTGTAAAGAAACAACAAATTTCTAAAAATGCCTGGATCAATTAGAAATACTGTCGATAGGCTTGACAAACCAAGTGCCTATTATCAAGGTAGAGTAAGCTATGCAATTATTATTCCACTCGGCGCAGAAGGAGCTCGACTAACAATCTGGTCTAGAATAAGAAGCGCAGATACGAGAGAGATGGAGAGGACGAGAGAAGAGAACGAACTCCAGAGGAACCAGCAGATGATCCTTTAAAAGACGCGACAACACTTTATGTTGGAAACTTGTATGTCAAAATGCATTCAATGTTTTCATTTGAGCTGTTTCCAATCAATCAATGGGCTGGGGCATGGTTTGAGGCATGAACTAATAATTTGTCTACAGATCCTTCTACACAACTGAAGAACAGATTCACGAACTATTTGCGAAATGTGGTGAAATCAAGAGATTGATTATGGGATTGGATAGATTCAATAAGACACCTTGTGGGTTTTGTTTCGTGGAATATTATACTCACCAAGATGCGCTCGATTGCATGAAGTATATTGGCGGTACAAAGCTCGACGAGAGAATCATTAGAACAGATTTAGATCCAGGATTTCAAGAGGGAAGACAGTATGGACGTGGGAAGTCTGGCGGCCAAGTGCGCGATGAGTACCGTGAGGAATACGATGAGGGGAGAGGAGGTCTAGGTAGAGCTATTCAAGCTGAAAGACAGAAAGAAGAAGAAGAATATGGCAAGGGTAGATAGTTCATTGGAGAGATGGACGATTGTACGATATTTTGCAGTACTTGGGAAGGCGTATAAGGAACTGCGGTGATTCATTGATATCAGAATGGTGAGCTGCATTTGCATAGTAGGGAAAATTCTTAGGATTCTAGCCATTCCAGAGCACTGAACTCATGCCCTTTCATTCTTTTTCGTATACACATATCCCAAACGCCATCAATGCATATTGTACATCAATTCTTCCGATGAGAACTCTTTCCATTGAGTCCATCCAAATATATCCATATCAATAACCGGGAGGATTGAGTCGTTGTGATAATCTCGTCCACTTAGGAAGCTCTGCAGTGATATCAGTAAACTGACTCCGTCTGTAGAGACACATCTGCCAGACTTACTGTGAATTCCCTTTCTATATTTCTTCTCTTTCCGGTCAAAGATTGTGTATTTATCTTTTGGTAACATCTCCTGCTCCGTTGGCATTTCCTCCTTCCACCTCTCCACAGCCTTTGTCGTAATTCCCTTAGCAGCCAAGGCTCTATCCACTGTAGCAACCACCGAATCGACTGCCCTTAAACGTTTGCGCTGTCGTGCCTTTTGGAATTTCGAGAGTCGCCATGGGATCTTCCTAAATCGCACCACCGTTAGCAAATCTCCACGCTCAAAATGATACCAGAGAATGAATCAGATCATACCAAAGAAGACCCCCAGACATAACATTCGTAGGTCTAAAAGCTCCAAACATTGTGTTGTTTGCTTCAATGTTCTTCTAATCGTACCTCCTCACGCCATCAATCAATCCTCTTCAAAATTCAAGAATCGGTCGGCCCCTCCGCTCCGCGCCAAGCTTTAAATTCCGCGAACCAATCAGCATTCGCTTCATGACCTCAACTCTCTAACCTCCATCATTGCTTCAACTGCGAATGCGCATACCAAAATGTCGTATTATTTCGCAATCGTCGGGACGCAAGACAACCCTCTCTTTGAATATGAATTTGGAACTGCGAAACAGGGTGGTGATGGGATCGCCAGGTTCCCCGAACAGGCCAGACATATGAATCAATTTATTGTTCATAGTAGTTTGGATATTGTCGAGGAGGTGCAATGGGGTGGTGGACAGATGTATGTGATTTTATTTTGCACGAGATGCGACTGGATTGGATACTAATAATATACTTTGTAGGTATCTGAAATGCATCGATCGGTTTTACAATAATTACGTATCGTGCTTCATGACGGGTGGAAGTAAGTTATGCTTTTCTTCTTACAGATATGCATCGTGGTGGTGCTAATATATGTAGATGTGAAATTCATGCTCTTACACTCTCCCTCTCAACCTGCAAACCCAACGACTTCGAGAACCTCTACATCGATCGGAGCAAATCCTACTTCGCCTCAGACAGAAGAGGCCATTAAACAATTCTTCACGGAAGTTTATGAGAATTGGGTAAAAACAATTATGAGTCCGTTTTACCAAGTCAATCAACCAGTTACGAGTCCGGTTTTCAGGGGTCGGGTTGCGGCGGCGGGGAAGAAATATTTGTGAGGAGTGTTGAGAGGGAATCATGGAAGAATCATCATAATCATTGCATCGAGGGGTATGGCTCTTAGGTGTATATTCTGGTGCGACGAAGAGTATCAGCGCGAGGAATAAGTTCGGGATTCTTGGTATGGATGAAGACTAAAGTCTCGGGATATATCATATCACATGGAGGATGATGTTACGAGCAGTAGTTGGTAGCATATTATAGAGGCTATCTACGCTACCATGTGGCCTTGGAAATCTCCAGAGTTCATCAATTACATCTCACGACCAGGAATTTAGTGGGAGATCTCACTGCGCGCAAAGGGACCGGAGTATGGTAGCTGAAAGACATCCCAGGCTTTGAAGGGATCCCTTTACTTGCACTAGCCCTTTGTCATACAACAGATACCTTAGCACGGTTTAGATTCTCATATTGGAGACTACTCGAATCTTCCTTATCAAAATAGCGGTCGAGACCATACTTTGAGTTGGGAACCGAGGCTCATCACTGTTTGAGCCCATACACGCTGGGATTGTGGTTTATGAAGCTGAAGAAGTACGCACAATGGGACGCGATGGAAATCGGTGAGATGGCTCACGAACATGCCCCAAACATGAATACTACAGAAGAATAGTAATAGATATAATATGATATTCCAAAACAAGTATTGTCACCTCGGCGAATTTTCAACAGAAAATTGCGATGTTTTCAAAAGTGTCTCAATAAGTCCTGTAATGTGATTGTGAAAACTGGCGGTAAGAAATCTCTGGTACCTACCTAGCTAGTAGACTCTTCCCAACTCGTCACTCCCTATCTACCATAGCATAGTACCCTTTAACACACTTACTTCAATGAACCTTGGATGGTACTTTCCTGTAAATGAAAGTCATGCATGTTTGAAGTCTCTAGTACTTTCATGAATTTCCTTATGCTTTTTTGTATGTATTGTATTATATTATATTGTGAGTTTTATGAAAGTTCATATATATAATGGGATGGGATTGGATTGGAAATGAAATTGTAAAAGTATGGATACCTATCTATGATTCTGATAATGCGTGTTTTGATAGATGAGAAATGAGTGGCTGTTTGGTGTTTAGATTGTAAGTGGGAATATATGGATATCTATGATTGGAAAGATGGAAGATGGAAGATGGAAGATGAAAGGTAGAAGGTTGGGGTTTGGTGATTGCTTGGTTTGACTTTTGGTTTGTGGCTTTTGACTTGTAGCTTTTGAGTTTGAGAGTTATGATGTATAGATCTAGATAGTTTGGAATGGGGATGATTTTATTATTGATGATAATATGTATGGAGTAGATTGTGTAGAGTATTGATGTACCTATCACCTACAGAGTAGTAGTATTGGTTCCGACGCGTAGGAAATGGCAGTTTCGTGAAGATGATGGATACTCATAGTTGTAATACTTCACCTCCTCTTTGAAGATAGTAAAAGGGTTAGATACCTAACTCTTGATGGATACTGATATATCTCAATACAAGTATTTGTATTTTGTATTTTTATTTGAATTTGAATTTCTTTTATATATATGTAGATAGTTTATTTCATAACAATGAATCGATGAGATCAATATCAACATCATCCAAGTACTCGCTTATCTATGCACCCCTGGAACTAATAAGGCGAAGTAACGATCCGCCGCATTTTACGCTTATAATGGATGGATGGATGGATGGATGGATGAGCTTTGGTCGGGACTCGGAACATTTCACATCACGCACGCAACAAATAATACAGCCGTAAGCCATATATGGTGTGTGTGTGTTCAAATCCAAACCACCATAATAATAAAATCGAAAGAACGACATTGAATTTTTTCTATAATTTTCCTCGGCAATCACACCCCCAGTGCCTTTCTCTCTTAGATAATAATAAAATATCAATTCCCATTCCCATTTCCATTAATTTCTCAAAAGGTACTAGCGTCAAAACTCCCATTTTCCAGATCACTTGTTTCCTGATCAAAAACCAACAAATTCCCTCCCCCTTCGGATTTTCATTCTTTTATTTAACAACTTCATATTCCGCCACTACTTACTTCGGAATTATCATCAATACATCCATCCATCGTCTTGATCAAGACGCGTTTATTATCTCAAATAATCAAATCCACTTCGTAATAACTACTTCATCATGACTGGACGTAAGTTATAATACCTTTTCTTCTCTTGGTTCTTATGTTGAAGTTGAGATTGTTGTTGTTGTCGGTCGCGATATTTGAGGATGATGTTTTGGTGTTGGTGTTTTGATCTCACTCCACTTCATCATCTATCAACGCGATAAGGTATCCACATCTCTATGATGTCGATATACCTACCTACAACAATGATCATCTCACTTCAATAATATACCATCACATCAATCATGCTTCAATATACTAATAGTATTCTTCAATAGGCGGAAAGGGCGGAAAGGGTCTCGGAAAGGGTGGTGCTAAGCGTCATCGTAAGATTTTGAGAGACAACATCCAAGGTATCACCAAGCCAGCTATCAGACGTCTTGCTCGTCGTGGTGGTGTCAAGCGTATTTCTGCCAGTAAGTTTTATCCAATTCTATCCCGTCGCGTCTTCAGTCTTCATGGCTTTGATGTGTGATGATATCTTCACAAAGATTTATTTACTGACGCGTCTTTCCACAGTGATCTACGAAGAAACCCGTGGTGTTTTGAAGACCTTCCTCGAGGGTGTCATTCGTGATGCCGTCACCTATACCGAACACGCCAAGCGCAAGACCGTCACTTCCCTCGATGTCGTCTACGCTTTGAAGAGACAAGGCCGTACCCTCTATGGTTTCGGTGGTTAAATATCTTCTCACCTCTACCATCTTTGTCATGACATCATCTCATACTCTTTCACATACGCGTCGATACAATACACTTTCGATTATGGTTCTCGGGGGAGTTGGGATGGGCCTATGTTACTTTTGATAGTCTTTTTTTAGACGGTCTAGCATGCTGTTTACGGCAGGGTTTCGCTCTCTCCTGATTCTTTTTGTGAATCATTCATTTCGACTTTCGACTACGTTTTCTATCTCAATCTGGTCTCGACATGGCGATACATTTCCTCGAATCAAAAACTTTTTGATAGTCTATACCTCTGCTTTTGCTTTGGTGTGTAAGACAGTCTAGCATCCTGTTTACGGGAGGAGTTTTCCTGGAACGTTTATTGTTTTGTAGCGACAACCTTGATACCCCGCGGTTTGGGATTTGTGAAGGCAGAATCTCATGATTAATGGCATACATGGATACATTACCTTTTTTTGTCTTTTTTGAGCAAACCTGTTTAGCTTGATTAGCTGGTTGGCGTTCTATGGTTTTTTGTTTCACCCTGGTACTAGACGGGCTGTCTAGAGGGTTGAGGGTTGAGGGATGGTATGGATTGGGGATGGATGTATGTGGGATTACGATCGAGCAGTTGTGTTTATTACGCATACATAGCATACGAGTGAAATTATATGGTCGTGGACCTGATTGAGATTATTTTTGATGTTTCTTGATTGATTTGGATGTGTGTGATGTGATGTGATGTGATGTTTTCTGAATTGTGAATTATGAGATTTGAGAATTTCTGATGTGATTGGAGGTGCTTCGGTGGTGGTCGATTTATTGATGATGGACAGAGAATAGATAGTTAGCTGGAGGGCTGGAAGGCAAGTGTTGTCTGTCTCTGTCTGTCTGTCTGTCACGGGATCACCTCTGGGAGTATTCAGAAGCTTTACCGCTGAGCTAAACGCCCAAAAGACTAGGAGGTAGAACTGGAAGTTCTACCTTACTCTCACATATATAGCAGGACAGGACAGGACAGAAAGGGCTTAGTGTCACCCCGTGACACTGTCTTCCATATTGTATTATATCATATGTATCTATATACATACCTTCATTTCTATACACCTATCTATATATATTTTATATCTTATATTTTATATCTTATATTTTATATCTTATATTTTATATCTTATATTTTATATCTTATATTTTATATCTTATATTTTATATCTTATATTTTATATCTTATATTTTATATCTTATATTTTATATCTTATATTTTATATCTTATATTTTATATCTTATATTTTATATTTTATATTTGTTCATATATTTACATATCTGTTTATATATCTATCTATTTATAGATCTATCTGTATGTCTGTAGGTCTATATGTCTAATATCTTCCGCATGTATTATATGTCACGAAGTGATACTAGCCCTTCCTGTCCTGTCCTGCTATATATGTGAGAGCAAGGTAGAATTTCTAGTTCTACCTCCTAATCTTTTATGTTTTTGTGGTATAGCGGTAAAGCTTCTGAATGCTTCTAGAGGTGGTTTTGTGATATTAGGTAGAACTACCCTTGGTTATAAGTGGAGCTATGTGGGAGGCCTATTTATAGCTTACAAATCTTTATTGGTTTGGGAGCTAGCATATATAGATCCTGTCTGCCTAAATGCCTAAAGTATTAGTCCTGAAACCTTTTAATTAGGTGATGGTATGGAGATTATACCTTAAGGAGGGGGGTAATGTCACGAAGTGACACTAGCCCTTTCTGTCCTGTCCTGTCCTGTCCTGTCCTGTCCTGTTCTGCTATATATGTGAGAGCAAGGTAGAACTTCTAGTTCTACCTCCTAGTCTTTTATGCTTTTATGGTATAGCGATAAAGCTTCTGAATGCTCCCAGAGGTGGTCCCGTGACATTATATCCTGTATACAGTATAGTATAGTATAGTATCACATCTCGATATTTAGTTGTAATAGAGTGAGAATGTTGTTGGAAGGATGGAAGGATAGATGAATGGATGGATAGTTGGGATATGCTTTCTTTTTCCCTCTTCTTGGGGTTTTGGGGTTTCTCTTGTTGGGGCTTGGGCTTGGGCTTGGGCTTTGGGTTTGGGTTTGAGTTTGAGTTTGAGTTTGAGTTTGAGTTTATAGGGAATGGTTTTGAGGAGGGTTTTGAGGGGGGGGTTCTAGGGGATTGGGTGTGTTGAGGTGTTGAGGTGTTTAAAAATAGGGTAGGGTAGGGTAGGGGAATTTAGTTTTAGTTTTAGAGTAGAGTAGAGTAGGGGGGATTTTAGTTTTAGAACAGAGTTGAGGGGGTAAAAGAGTAAGGGAGTTTTAGAGTAAGGAAATTAGTTTTTGATTGATTGATAATAAAAATGATGTTTGGAATTTCTGTGAAGGCGGGGGGGTAACTTGGGGGAGCATGTTTGGCGGATTGGGGGGTTGCGAGGGGTTGGATTTGGGGGAGAGGGGGAGAGGGGTTGGATTTGAAGGGGAGGGTGTTTAAAGAGTTGGATTTTCGAAGAAGGATGTTTGAGGGGTTGGATTTTGGGAGAGGGAGAGAGGGAGGGGGGAGGGAGGGGGGAATTTCTCGTTGGTGATGGGATTGATGTGATAGTGTGATAGGAGAGAGATGGTGAGTTGGTGAGTTGGTGAGTTGGTGAGTTGCATTGTTTAATTGTATAAGGATGGTACAATGGGTGAATAAGTGAGTGGGTAAAGTTGGATTGAATAGATTGAATTATATTGAATGTAGAAACTGATGATTTGATTTACTTTATTTTATTTTATTTTATAACTTTCAAAGTGTTTGAATTTCAAAATGTACAGCTACAAATAATAGATATCTAGATATCTTAAAGAGAAGCGGGAAGCGGCAATTAG